TGTACTGTTCCGTGACGTGACGGCATTCAGGTGGTCTGTGGTGGTGGCTTGTTCTTATAGCCGTCGTTCATTCATCCCACCAGAATGTGTGAGCGTTGTGCAGGTCCTAAATCTCAGTGCCAGGGACACAGGCGTCAATGGACCAGCTTCCTTCCCAACAAGTCTTCAGCTTAGAGTGACAGACAAGCTCACACACAAATGGTGACATGACCAAGATGCATTAAGCGTATATGTGTACACTCAAATGCAAACACTCACATACATGCCAATTTACACATATGCATACACACACATATATCGTGACGACCACGAAGAAAGAAGGGGTGTGGTGGTTTGGATGAGATGCCCCTCCTAGTCTCGGGCATTTGGACACTTGATCCCCAGTTGGTGACCCTTATTGGGGGAGGTTCGGGTGGCACCACCTTGCTAGAGGAGTTATATCATGAGGGACGGGCTTTGAGATTAAAGGAGTCGTGTCATTTCCAGCTTTCCCTCTCTTCTCTGTACTTGCATTCGAAGATGCAGGCCCTCAGCTTCCGCTCCAGTTGCTGCCGTGCCTTTCTCCAGAGATGGACTCTTATCCCTCTAGAACCGTTATCCGAAATAAACTCTTAGCTTGGTCACGGCGCTTTGTCATGGTAACAGAAAAGTAACTATAACCCGGAGGAGGCTCATGAATTCCGGGGATAATCTTATCACACAGAAGGGTTAACTCCATTGGAAAACAGCCCCTCTCAGGAAGGTGCTGCAGGACAGACAGATAGCATGTGTCTGCAGGCTGAGCTCCCCACGGGCTCTGCTCGGATACAGGGCATGGTCTGTTTATTCTGCCTACAGCACTCAGAATAAAGATTTCTTTATTCCCACGATGTGGGTGAGGACAAGGTCCAGTGAGGGAGTTTCTCTGAAAGAGATTTAAGTTGGTCCCACTTAAAAAGTTAAGCAACAGTTAGTGGGTGAGAGTGTTCGCCATGCAACCACGAGGGCCTCAGTTTAGATCCCTGGAACCCCTGTTTAAAACAAACAAGGTGGACATAGACGCACACCCCTGTAACTCTGGCACTGGACAGGGTAGCGCAGAAACAGAAGGTTTGCTAGGCCTTGCTGATCAACAGACAGCAAACTCCAGATTCAGTGAGAGACCTTGTTCTAAAGGAATAGGGAAGAGAGTGACTGAAGATCACGCCGACATCAACAGCTGGGGAAAGAAAATCGTGGTCACCCTGCTGACCTCCGCCTTGAGCTAGCAGCTGTCTCTGGAAAGGCCAAACATTACCCTGGAGGAAAAAGCCAGCCAGGACCTCGGATCACAGGTGTCTCTGGCAGCTTTGAAGGCCAAAGTGTCTGGTCGCTTGTTGCTTTTGCATTCTAAGTCTTGGTATGGTGCTGGGCCAATGTGTGGCCTTGGAAAGTGCTTCCCTTCTCACACTCTGGACTCCTCATCACAGAAGAGGGACCACAGCAGTCTGTCTCTTAGTGTCACTGGACTAACATCCGGGCCTCCCCCCTGGAGAGCCGGTATTTGAGAGATGAGAGTGATTGGGTTTATTCAAGGACCAGCACCTTGGCAGATTGGCAAAGCTGTCCTTAGAACTCTGCCTCGGAGAATCCAGGGTTGCAACTGATGTCTGCAGGGAGGAGGAGGAGAGAAGCAGAAAAGGCTGCGTCCTGAATGCAGTCTTGGCTTCTGGCACCCCTTCCCTCTTGCCTGAGCACAGCGATGGAGTTCACGCTCCTGAGAGGAGTTCCTGTCCTCCCTTCTGAAGGACAGGGTGGTTCCTGTGAGCCCAACCTCATAGAAATGCCCGTGCTCCTTGGTAAAGACTGTGGAAAGGCAGTACTTGTTTTATGTTATATGAAAGCCACTAGGTACTCTAGAGTCTGTAAATCTAAAGAAACATGATTTAGCGGTTATCATTCTGATCCTTTAGGCAAGTTTCTTCTTTAGAATGTTGAGTGCTAGGCGAAAAGGAAGGGAGGGAAAGCAGGCCTGTGGCAGGGTTTAGGGAAGGAAGCTGGGCTGGGGAGGGGAAAGGCCCCCAAGGAGGAGACAGGCTGTCACAGTGGGGGTGTGATGGCAATGAGGTAAGCATATTGAAATGTGCAGGGCTTGGACCAGGCACCCTGGCCATGCTGACTGGCCGGCTGCTGTTTGAATTATCCAAGACGCCCTGTACACATCAATACAATGGCGATCAGAGAAGGATGAAGTCACAGCAGGCCAGACACTTCCTTCCGCCAACCTCACAGTCCGGCTCTCTCAAGCGAGATGGTTACTTAGGAGATTTCATTTCACAGTGTGAATATATCACACAGAAACTAGCAATTATCTTCGAAAGGAATTTGGCAAATCTCCCCTGAAATGAAACCTTATCTAAGGTTTCTCTTCTCTACCAAAGTTTCAGTTACAAGTCAACTGTATGTGGTCCAAAGGTAATAAAGGGAAAACTCCTGAAATAAACTGCTGGTAGGTCTTCAGTGACTGTTCTGAGTAGCATAAGGAAATCTCATGCCTTTCCACTCCATCTCCCAGGACATAAGTCATGCCTTTGTCCAGTGTGTCCACACTGTATATGCTACCCACCCATTAGTCAGTTATAGCTATTTCATTTATTGGGTGGAGTCTTGGTAGAGCAATGCTTGTGTTCAAATGGCCCTTATTTTACATATATATATACACACATATATTATGTGTTTGTGTGATATATGTAAATTTATGTATTTATATATACACATATATATGACGTTACAGGTATGTAGGTAGGAGCTGAGACAAACTACCCTTCAGAGGAGGCTTACTATGATAGTTTAGGCACCAGGCAGGGTTCTGAAGAGAGAAGCCTGCAGTTTCAGAGTTCAAAGGGAATCTCTGACTCTTAGAGGTTGGGTGGATGAGAGTTTCACACCACACCAGTGACCTAACCTGAGTGTTGGGAATTGAGCTAGAATGCTCTAGATAGGAGGAAGGTGAAGTTGCAGTTTTAAGATTGTCTTGGGTCTCCAGGCGTAAGGCCACATACCTGTGATCCCAGCACTTGGGGAGGCAGAGGCAGGCAGGTCTCTGTGAGTTCGGGGCCAGCCTGGTCTACAAAGCGAGTCCAGGACAGCCAAGGCTGCAAACCCTGTCTCAAAAAATAAATCAATAAATCAATAAATAAAAGAGATTGCCTTGGGTCAGTGCATCAGGAGCCTGGGACTGCCCCTGTCTGCAAAAAGGTAGGAGGGACTGCATGGCCACAGGCGGTCTCACCTGTCTGCTCTCTACCTGAAGTGGGATAGGCTACAAAGGACATGGCTTGACTTCTCCAAGCTTGCAACATCGGTTCTACTGTGCTGGCTATTTTTTTTTTTTTTTTTTTTTTTTTTTGTGAACTTGACACAAGCTAGAGTCATCAGAGAAGAGGGAAACTTGATGGAGAAAATGTTTCCGTAAGATCCAGCTGTAGGACATTTTCTTAACTAGTGACTGACGAGAGAGGCCCAGCCCACTGTGAGTGGGGCCAGCCCTGAGCTGGCGGTCCTGGGTTCCAGAAGAGATCAAGCTGAGCAAGCCGTGAGGGGCAAGCCATTGAGCAGCACCACGCCGTGGCCTCTGTGTCACCCCCGCCTCCAGGATCCCTCCCTGCGTGAGTCCCTGCCCTCGCTGCTTCTGACGATGAGCTGTTATAGGAGAGTGTTTTTATTTTTGTAACTTTTTAATAACACTTTTTACAACTGCTGTGCATTATTCTTCGTTATAATTATCCATCTCTTCCTTCGGCTAATAGATAAATTACACTATAGGGATGAGTGCATAGGGGAAAAAACCATCTGTGTAAGGCCCAGAATGGTTTCAGGCACCCACCATGAGTCTTGGGACATTTATCCTAGTCACAGAAACCCGAGTTGTGACTCTGATCTGGACGGGGCTGAATCTAAGCACAGTGGCTTTGTGACGGTTTGTCTCAGTGGTGTGTTCCACGTACACTCATGCATACACACAGACACGCGCGCACACACACACACCTCTTCTGTTGCAGCCACAAAGCGACTGACTCGTGTTCTGATGACTTGATCCGTGACAAGTTTGAATGGCCAATGGCTACATCCTCATGTAACCCTCCTCTGCCCCTGCGTAATCTGGGAACCACAGGAGCGTGAGCCATGCAGGAGGGGCCCAGACGCCATCGTCCGTGGTACGTTATCGGCATGCGTGAAGGGGCGGGAGAGACCCAATGACTTAGGCCTCCTCTATGCAACTTGCTTTCAGCGTCCTCCAGTCTTGTCTTCGCCCCGGCCTGTGTCCCTTACTCTGCTTATGGATCCCACGGTGCAACGTGGGATATTTCTAATTACCTGTTCTGACAGGAAAATGCGAACTCCTGACACGGGGAGAGTGGGCTTTCGAGGTGAGCCCATGACTTCCGTCTTCATGAGCCTCACCGCAAGCCAAGCTAAGAGAAGGGGCCCCCTCCAGAAACAGGGAATTCATCGAGCACCAGATGCTGTGAGTGAGGCAACAGCGGAACAAAACCTTAGGCTGAATCACGCACACAACGTTCACACGTTCACTCCCGAAACGGGCGCTTGGGAAGGAGACGTTTGGGTTGAGAGCTGGCGCCTCGGGCTGGAACGGGTGAGTGACTGCATCTTCAACCATCCACAGCAGCCGTTCCTAGCCTCAGGTCTGCACCAACGGTTGTGGACAGTTTTGCATGAGAGCATGCCTGTGCTGGCAGCAGCTCTGAGGAGGAGGAAATGTAGGGAGACGGCGAGGAGAGGTGCTGCTCGTGTGCACGAGTTGGGGTACTTTTGTCCTTGTAAAGCACAGAAAGAGCACCAAGGCCATTTCAGCCCCCAGGGACCGGGGGCCTTAGCAGCAGGAGCGCCAGGTGTCTGGGTAAGGAGGCTGCTCATCCTGCTGGCTGGACTTCATTCCCACAATGTCCACACAGGAGTCCAGGGAAGGCTCCAGCTGTGTCTACTTTCAGGAGCTCAGGTGCTGGCTTGTTCCCTGCTCTTCAAGTCTTCAGGTCTCTCTAAAAGTGAAAACAGAGATCACCATTTTTTTTTTTCCTCCTGCAAGCCACATCTTGGAAATTGTGATGGATTTTCTATTAAATGTCATCAGTGGTCACTGGGGAAGGCTGGGCCTCTGAGGGAGGAGGATGCCAGCTCTGGGTGACTGCCACCCAAGAAAGGCCTCTGCACTTTTTATCTCTGTCCAAGATTGTCCCCAAACTGCTCTAGGAAGGTCTGCTGGGTCACAGATGCATGTTCCTGAGGACTAATTTGAGACAGAATACTTTTGTTTCAAGCCCTAACTGGATAGGGAAAACATGGTGGGCAGGATGAAGATGATGGAGTGGGGACATCCTGGGCTGACATGGGACAGTGCTACAAGATGAGAGGTCTCTGGAAGGGCGTCCCGTGGGACAAGCCAAACCCGGGAATCTTCATACAGAAGGGAGGGGACTGCTGCATCTTCCCAGGACCATCAAAATGGCCAGCCAGCCACCACAGTGAAGCCCTTCAGAGAACAGATACTTTAGGAGACAGCTGAGTCTTTGCTTGATTGCCAGGGAGTCTCGGGAGTACACCAGCCTTTCTACAATGATGTTCAAAACAGCAGGATCACCTGATCCCTACGCCAGGTCCCCAACTGAGATTGGCCGGAAGAGGGTGCCGGGGATCTTCAGTCTTAGCAAACAGCCAAGGGAGGATTTTTCTACCCCAAGTGTACGATCTGTTTATCCCTCAGGGCAGAATCATGCTGAGGTCCTCATATGTGTGTGGCTGCACTCATATGAGTTCCTTACTTGCTTGGGAGCCCTCGTTTATTCAAGGTCCCCATCTGTCATGAGCAGTGTTCTGGGACTCATCACCGAGCATGATATAGAGAGCATCCTAGCTAGGCCCCCATCCTGCCACGGCTCCCCAGCCTGAGTCCTGACTGCACAGAGTGAAGCCGCAGAGAGCAGCTTTGTGCTGGTTCAGACTTTGAGAACAGTCCCATGGGACTTGTGTCTCAGGACCCGCCACAGGAGGGCCACTAGCTTTCTGGGGTTCCTCCTTGGCTTGCCACACCTCCTGGGAACACAAGGCCCATCTGTGTTCTAGCCTCATCACACAGGTGCCTCCAGTGGCCTCTGCACAAGGAAATTCGCTGCTCAAGTGCCCGTTTCTGCAAGTGGAAGATGAGTGTTGGCTAAATTCTGTAGTTGGAGAAAAGCCTGTGGCATGGATACAATAGAGCCAGCAGACTGCTCCAGCTGGTGGCTTCCTACAGGCCTCTGACGAGCAGCCAGCCCTGCAGGCTCCATCATCTACCGAGGATGGGAGCAAGGCTGAAAAAAAAAAATCCACAGCTATGACTAGCAACACTGAGATCTGAACATGCCCCAGCCTCACCAGCCTCCGCCCTGTCAGGCTTGAGAGACAAGCCTGAGGGAAAGTCGGCAAATATTTGCCTAGTCCTTGGTCTGAGGCTGGGCTTTGCCTCCCTGCAGCCCTTCCCCATACGGGAGGGGGGGGGATGTGGACCCATGGCTCTCAACGCAGCAAGGCTTGCCCTATCAGGACATCTCTTTGCCTGGTGTCAAGTGACTCTCAGTTCCTTGGTGGCTCAGGGTTCCCCCGTCTTCCTCTTGCTGACCAGGAGCCTCTGAAGGCCTGTTCTGGTTCCCCCTCCTGCTTAAGGACTCCCTGTTTCACCTTGGCTCTCAGCAAGGTGTCAGCCACACAGGGGCACTTGGGAGCCTCCTGACCTGGCTCAACCCACCCACTCTATGCTCCGTGCCCAGATAGCATCCTTTACCCCATTCCAAGGGGACACCTCACCCATGGGTCACCCTTTGCCCTGCACCCTTTTCCAAGCAGTCCCATCCCTCCAGATCCCTCCCCTGTTTGCCTGGATCACGTGCGTGGGATTAGCGCCCTGGGGCTTGTACCCAGAGCCACGAAATCACTGCAGAATCAACATCCTCTCCATCTCCTCCCGCCTCCCCGAGGCAGGCCTGGAGTGCAGGGATGTTGTGAGCCGGACAGTCACGTCCACCTCCAATGGGAGCACGCCACGCACCTCCAGCTGCTCGTGGATCCAGTCCAGGAAGGAGGTGATGCGCGTGTAGACTCCGGGCTTGTTCACCTCAGCACAGCCGATTCCGAAGCTTGTCGCGCCCACCAACTTCCACAGTCTCATCTCCTGGCACACCAGGGGCCCCCCGCTGTCTCCCTGGAGAGCGGAAGGAGGCAAAGCTCAAGTAGGAGAGATGCAGCGGCTAACACCGTCCTGGTGTCACAGACTTTCCCTTCCATATGGCAAACCTATGTACTTCTGGAACGGACACTCCTTCTCTCAAGAGGCAGCTCCTTGCCTGTGCAGGAAGGTTTCCCCTCCAGCTGTGTCTCCCTCCACGTCCCAAACACTAAACTGTGATGGTCAAGGGTGGCCTGCAGAGCCATGGCGGTGGGAGGGTCTGCCCGAACTCGTGGTGTCCACAGTTTGAACTGAATCTCACCCACTGTGGCTTTGGGTAGCTCAGATCCATCGGCTCACACCCGCCTCCCTGCTGCTCTGCTTGACCCCCTTACACACTCACAGAAAGGGGCCAGAGAGGATGAGCGAAGGCAACACCCCAGGCCCTGGAAAACTGGGAACCCGGGTAAACACAGGCTGGGCCACCAGGAAAGCCAGGGATATCTTAAGCAAATCTCTTCTTTGTGCCATTTGTGTAAATTTGCTTTTCGTACAGTCACGGGGTAGCTGGCAGGGGCCTTGTCCCATGGGCCCGGTCGCCATTCTGGACCCTTGCCTGCTGCTGCGGCCCCAAGGCTAACTGGAGTCTTTTACCTGGCAGCTGTCCACACCGCCCTTCAGATAGCCCGCACAGAGCATGGACGGGGAGATGATACCGCCGTAGACGTCTCTGTGGTTGCAGATCTTGTTTGAAATCAAAGGGACGGCCGCATGGTTCAGGACAGGGGAGGCGTCACCTGCCTCAAAGTAAATAAGAAATGGGTGGTGAGGAGCCTGGTTAGAGAACAGACAGACTGACGGGAGAAGGGGGACAAGGGTCGTGCCACCCGACACAGAGCAGTCACAGAAAAGGCCAGGTCATGGAGCACACGGAGCTCAGACAGTCCCTACTGAGTGTGTTGTGCATTCTCTCCTCTTCTTCAGGGCCGCTTCCTCCCCTGAGGGAGCCCAGGTGAAAGAGAAGTAGGAAACAGTAGACAAACATTCTTCCCACAGCCAGCCGAGCCCCTGACACTCCCCAGTCAATCCCCATTACAAAAGGGAAACTGGCTGGGCACTGTAGAATGAGCCTTTAACCCCAACACCCTGGGAGCAGAGACAGGCAGATCTCTGTGAGTTCGAGGCCAGCCTGGTCTACGAAGTGGGTCCAGGACAGCCAAGGCTACACAGAGAAACCCTGTCTGGAAAGAAAGAAAGAAAGAAAGAAAGAGAGGAAGGAAGGAAGGAAGGAAGGAAGGAAGGAAGGAAGGAAGGAAGGAAGGAAAAGGAAGGAAGACAGACAATAGGGAAACTGAGGCTCCTGAATGCTGAACATCTCTGCAGGGCTGAATGTGGCCAGCAGTAATGATGTGACCTTCCAAATTTAGGTGTGGGCCCTGGACCTGTGGCCATGCCATTAGCCAGGGAACCTCACAGGTATTCGGGTGTACGGCTGGCTGTACAGTAGCCCGGATGATGTGAGTATAAACTCACTAAAACTACAAGGACTTCTCAACAACTCAAAGAAGCAGAGCTTACAGTCGGATCAGCCTGCTGGCCTTGAAGACTACACCAGGAGCATAGAGGCAAAGGGAAAAGGACAGCTGTCGTCGGAGCCACCTGGGGAGCCACCCCACCAGCTCCAGTGACCCCTGAGGCTGGCTGATGACTTCTGACCTATCACTGCTCGGAGATAAACACATGCGGAGCATTGAATCCTAGATTTTGAGACCCTGAGTCAGGAGAGTTGCTGTGAAGTTCATGGCCAGCCTGGGCTACGTAGCGAGCTTCAGTTCAGCCTGGGCTGCGGTGAGAACCTGAATGATTATGTCTCCAAGGGACTGAGGAGATGGAAGAGCCAATAGAGTAGTTGTTCAATACCCAGAACCACATTGGGGGGGGGGATGCAAAACAAGCAAAACAACCATCTAGACATTGGGACTGCAGTGACGCGTCAGCCAGCCATGGGACACTGAGAAGGACTAGAGCCACCGGACCCTGGGGAGATGCTGGAACAGAGCCCACCTCAGGCCTTTGGACACTTTGATCTCAGACCCCAGAAGTGTGAGAGGACTCACGCCTACACTTTTGGGCTTTTGGAGCTATCCAGGCCATGGTAGTTTGCTGCGGTTTCTAGAGACAGCAGGCTGGCCTGTGCCTAGAAAACGCTGGGAACCTTGACTGTTGAGACCATGTCAGCACCGTACCTTGATTCGAGGGACACAGATGTCCCTAGCAGGTATGCGACCGTGACTGACAATTCTACCACTCCTGGGAGTGCCTTATAGTCCACGCTCATATGGGGAAAATACTACCCTGTGCTAGCTCGCTCAGGCATCAGTTCTTTGCCTTACCTGCCTCCTGATAAAGCTTGAGGGGCCATCAAGGCATACTCCATATACTTGCTTCAGTAGAGTGAGAGGTGGCAGGAAGGAGGGGTGGGCGAAGGTCTCTCCATGGAGAAATACCCACGCTTCTCCCTCGCTTCTCCAGAGAAGCCCCAAAACTTTCACACTGTCCGAAGATGAGTGACACCATGATGTTGGTCCACCCTAACCCTGAGCTTAGACCTCCAAGCGTCCTGAGGAGCACAGCACAACAGAGTATCGGGGGGACCCTCCCAGCCTCTGGCATCAGGCCACTGACCTCCGTCCTCAGTGGCCCCCCATCCTGAGGTCCAGCACAGTTTCCCATCAGGAAAGGTCTCTTCTGAGTTGGGCAGGCAGATGGGCTGGATGGTCTCTGTTAGAAAGGGAACAATGGTGTGACATCCTTGAAGCCACTGTCCCAGAAGTCAACTGGCCTTGGTCACTGAAGGCAGCTAGCCCAGAACAGAAGCCACACCCACTCATGCCCCCGAGTCCCTAAAACTCCAGTGTGGCCCTAAACTATGCCCCGAATCCCTGGCTGTAGGAAGCTAGACAGTAGATAGCTCAGGCTTGTAAGCCATGTGAACCTCATCAGGTTGCCGGAACCATTGGAGATGTTAAAAAAAAAAAAGGGAGGGGGAGGGCTTGGGGGTGAGACTGATTGCTTTATGATAAGATTTCTCTTGCTCAAATGTGCACTGGGTCACACTTGGCCCTCAGGTCTAAGTTGGTCCAGACCTTGAGTGTATACTGCACATGATGGGCCCCCACGCCCTATCCTGCGTGGTGATAACAGAAAAATACTCGACAGACACCTCCCTCTGTGGGATATCAAATGTTACCACAATGATTAGCAAACAGCGGCTCCCCAACCCCACCCCAGCAGTTTCTCTCTCTCTGTCACTCTGGAAATCGCACAGGCTCACTGCAGAGAACGGGGAGTCCACCTTGGAGGCAGCCCTGCCTGCCCTCCAGAGTGTCTGTCCTTGGGTAGGTCAGGACTTTCACATAAGCCAACAATCCCTGCTGCTCTGTGCCACTAGTGGAATGCCAGAGCGATCTAGGGGGGCTGGCCCTGGGTGGGGGCGCTCTGTAACAGCCAGAGGGCTGAGCCTGGAACTCACAGACTCGGGTGGGCTAAGTGTCAGAGAGAGGAAGGAGAGAGATCTGAGAACTCCCAGCAAGCCTTCCAGATGGTGAGGAAGAGAGGCACCGACAGAAGCTCCCTCAGCCCTGGCTCAGAGCGGTGACTCTGCTGCCACCTGGAGTCAGCAGGCTCAACGGCCGAGCACGCCAGGACTGAAGACACCTCACTCAGCCGGCAAAGCGCTATGGCACAGGCATGCAGCCCGCCCGCGCCCCGCGCCCCACCCGTGGGAAAAGCCCTCAGTGGTGACACTGAGCACAGTCCCCAGTGCTGGGGTTGGAGAGACAGGGGGTCCCTGGGGCTTCTCGGCCAGTCCGCCTGCTAGGCAACTCTAGGCCGGTGAGAGGTGGCCTGCCCCCTGGAAAACAGGGCGGACAGTCCCAGAGGACAACGCTCGAGGAGACCTCTGGCTTCCGTGTGCATGCACACACATATATACCCAGCTTTAACGAGCAAACACAGTACGCCTAATCTCAACACCCGGCTGAATCAGAGGTAGGGATTTTCCGGCAAGGGGGGTGGAGCAGCCGTTCTAACAAGCCCGTGAAATAGGCGAGAAGCGACCCCCCGGCCGCAGAGGCCTGGACGCACCGTCGAAGGCCAGCGGCTCGGCCAGCTTCATGAGGGCGATGTCGTTGCCCAGCCGCTTTGGCTTGTACTTGCTGTGGTACACGATCCTCTCTACCAGGTGGGAGGGCACGGGGCTGTCGGTCAGGGACACCAGGCCCGCCTGGACCGTCCAGGCCCTGGGCTGGTACAGGCTGAAACACACTGACACTCAGGTCCCACAGGAAGGCAGGCCACACCCACGTGCACCCCACACCGGCCAGGCTCTCCATGAGACACGTGGTTAAGAGCCGGGCTGGAGAGATGGCTCAGTGGTCAAGGGCACTGACTGCTCTTCCAGAGGACCCGGGTTTGATTCCCCTATCACCCCTGGATCACCCCCCTCACCCCCCGGACCCAGCGGCAGGCCCCAGGCACTCACTCGTAGACGCAGTGCGCGGCCGTGATGATCCACGCGGGCGTGATGACGGAGCCCCCGCACAGGTGGTGGCCCTGGAACTGGAGGCTCACCTGCCACGGCCACTGGGCGAGCGAGGACGCGTTTCCACCCACGATGCGGGGGCTGGGGCCGCTCCGCGTGCCACAGGCTACAGACCGAGGGCAAGGGCTGTGGGCACACCCCATGGCACCCCAGACCTCCCTGAGCCCCACCCGGAGCTCACGGCCCTGCCACAGTGGGAGCCTGGATATGGAGAGGGTGGGGCACACCAGAGGAGCCGCTAGTGCAGAGAGAGCGAGCAGGACCACCCTGCCCTCCTGCGTGTGCCCCACCCCAGCACCCAGGGGAGGCGTCCTGAATGGTGGGGTGTGGGGACACAGCTCCGAAGGGCCAGGCTCCCCACACGTTCACACACTTACCTGAGCACTTCAAGGTGACCACACGGCCTGAGGCGCAGCCTTCCTCCCTGCGGGGGAAGGGAACAGGTCACTGACAGGCCAGCCCGCTGCCGTGTGCACAGCAGAGGTCACAGCCTGGAAGCCAGGGCCTGGGAGGCCTGTGCCCCTGTTCCCAGAGTTGGGGGCCAATGTGAAAGCATTTCCTCTTCCCTTCCCTACTTGTTTGCTTACTTTACACAAACACATATACACACATACATGTACACATACATCCACACATGTACACATCCACACACATATACATACACACTAACATGCACACATCTATACACATACATGTTCACATACACACATACATATATACATACATACACACACTCAAACACACAAAAATACACACTCACATACCTATACATACAACCACATACACATACTCAGAAACACACAGATATATATACACACTCACACACATACACATATACACATATTCACACATAACACACAACCATACATACACACGCAACACAATACAAATACATACACACACACACACACACACACACCCCACAGGACTCCCTGTTGTGAGGCAGGCCCAGCAATGGCCTCATGCACACCTGCCTGCATGGTTGCTCCTGTATTTCAGCCGTGTTTCCCAGGGCTGGGGCTCCACCCCTGGACCCTAGCACGTGTCTCACGCTTACCTCACGTACACAGAGTGGTGGAGCGTGGTCACCTTGTCGTCTGGCAGGAGGTGGTTGATGGACACAAGGTGACCCTGGAACGGCTCCTCTATTGCGTCCACTCTGACGTGGTCCGAGCTTACGTAGCTGCAGGCACACCGGGACCCAATCGTTACGGTGACTGAGCTGCCACTCAGTGCACACCTGCTCACGATTACACCCCCACTCTGGGGGCCTCGCTCGGGTCTCCCCGAACCACTAAAGGCTCCCTTTTGCCCATGGGACGCCCACACCGTGGCCAGGCATGCCGGGTGGGCTGTGGCCTGGGAACCTGCTGGCTCCCCTACAGTCCAACGCCTGCCCACCGGCCAGCCCCGGGCACGGGGAGCGACCCCCTTCCTGCCACACTTGGGTGGCTTCCGCCCACCCATCTCTGACACACTTGATCTGAGGGGGAGGCGTTGGGGGTCTGTGACAGCTTGCTCCACCTTGCCCAGCACGGTGGGCATGACCCAGGGACCCCAGAACCGAGCCAGTGAGCTCAACACTGGAGGACAGGTGTGGACAGCCATGGCACAGAAGAGAGTGGAAGGGACTGGAACGCGGTGGAGAGGCGGATCGAGGGCCCGGCAACAGAAAAGGAAAACAAATGCAGAGTTTGGGGGTCCTCAGGGAAGGCCATGCACAGCGAGCTGTGGGTGCTAACTGCTCGCCAACCCAGTGGCTTGTCACTCGGGGCAGCACCCGATCACTGTTCAGTGTCACAGGGGTTCGTGTAAGTCCAGTAGCATGTTTGGCCAAGCATGGGTTTGAGGAAAGTGCCATGGAGATCCTTTCTCAGGTGCCTCCTCCCCCTAGGAGGCAGCAGGTGTGAAAGAGCCTGTTTGGGCTCTCAGGGGAAGGTGGGCAGGGTGATGAGCTGGGGCAGAGGGGGTCTGGGGGTCACAGGTCACCTCAGGGCACCAGCCACGGCCACTCCTATACCCCGATGACCGCCGAGCACCCACAGCCTCTTAGGGTAGACACTGTTATCACCCATTCTCGGGGAGGAAAAGGGTCCGGCTTCACAAGACTGGCCCGAATCTGCACCAACATTTGGGCCGACCGGCCTGACTGGTTTCGGCTCTGGGTTTGTTGTGGTTGTTGTTCGGTTGTTTGTCTGTTGCTACTCCAGATATACAAGCTAGATGTGGCGGAGGGGAGGGAGGGGACTTCTAAAGAGAGGAGGGGGAAAGAATAAATAAAGACACAGAATAAAGTCAGAGAGACTGAGGCAAGGGGAGGGTGGCGTGTCCATGGTGTGGGAGGAAGGGGCACGGGGAGATGGCGTAGCCCTAACCACCCTCTCAGAGCAGAGAAGAGGAGGCTGGGGTGGGATTTAGAGTCAGGAGCTGCCCATCCTGCCAAGTGGGTCCAACGTGCCCAGAGACCTGAGGCTCCTTATCCAGAGTCCTCATGGAGTGAACAGGACTTGAGCTGAGCAAAAAAGGCCAGGAGGTTTGGAAGGGAAGAATATTCCAGAAGAGAAGAGGAGGAATGAGAAAGAGACTGGCAGGAAACAGATGCCTGATGGGGAAACTGAGGCTGTTTTGGCACGTGTGGTTTCTGTGCTGTTTGGATCTCCTCCTTTTCTTTAAGGAGTAACGCTATGTAATTGTGTCTGAGCTGCCTTTGCAGCTGTCACCGAAATTCAGTTGAAGTTTCAGACCCCAGGCGGGTATGGCATACAGAGGAGGCAGACCTGAGGGACCTCAGCCTCCAGGCATCAAGGATCCCGCTGGCTTAGATTCTGCCACAGATGGTGAGTGTGTGGCCCTGTGGTTTTGAGGGCCCTGCTTCCCGGGTTACAGACAAGGACACCGCTCTGCATTTCTCAGCGTTGATCTTGCTTAGTTCCTGAGATGGGTGTGGGAACTCGGGGTACTGAGAAGCCGAGAGGTGAGGGCATCCAAGGAAGCAAGGCATGGGTCAGAAGTCGGGAGGGATGGCCACGAAGGAGAGGGAACCCTCAGTTGGGCGACTGAGCGTGGAGCGCCAGCAGCTGACTCCTAACACTGAAGGCAGAAAGACGCTGGAGGAAAGAGCTTCCTCCAGGATGTGTGAGGATGTGTGTGCAGACACGGAGATGACCAGCAGGACCAGATTTCAAGTGTCCCAACATCTCCTCTTTTAAGTTTAAGCAGAACATTTCTTTTTCCACTCAGAGGTTCTGGGCTTCTGAGCTGTTTGCTTTCCGTTACTGTTTTTCTTTTCTTATGCTCTGCAACTCAGACTCTCCATGTAGCGCCGGCTGGCCTTGAACTCACATTGTTCCTGCCCCTGCCTCCCCAGTGCAGGGATTACACGTGTGCCACCATGCCTGGCTGTTGCGGTGCTGGCATGGAACCCAGGGCTTCCCGCATGGCAGGTCGGTGCTCTACCAACTGAGCCCCCAGCCCCAGCCCCAGAGACCTAAATTGCTTTTGCATCTAAGGCCCTGGCCTGGCCCTGAGGCCCTCCCTTCAAACACGATGTTCTGTGTGACTTGGGGTCACCTGGATGCTTGGGCCTTGCCTTGCTCCCCATGAAGGAAGACAGGGAGGATCAGGGAGCGCTTGCAATTGGGTAGCAATTTGCCCTTGCTGTCATCCCTCTCTCTGGCCTTGACTCACCTGGGAAACCCCAGCTGCGCACAGGCAATCTTGGTGTAGTGGCTTTTCCAGTCATCGGAGCACATGGTCCTCCACGCAGCCGCCGCGAACACTTGGAGTGCTGCCCTCTGGCCGCTCACCCGCACTAGCCAGGCGTGGGGAGAAGGGCAGTGAGTGCCAGGGCAGGCCGAAGTCGGCCAGAGAGTGCTACAGAGCTGTCCAACCTGACCTGCTCCCCCCCAAGATGCTGCAGTCCCCGTGACCTGCACCCCAAGACTGCCCCACCACACACACACACACACACACACACTCGGAGCCTTCAATGACCCCGCGTGACTCACCACATCGGTACTCATCCTCCCCATCCTTGCAGTCAGGGACCCCATCACAACGAGCCGTCAGTTCGATGCACTTGAAAGACGAACGGCACCTGTACTTCCCAGAGCAGTCGAAGTGGACTGGGAACGGGGAGGAATGAGGAAAGGCTGGCAATCGGTGCGCATCGCCGACATCTGGGCCACGCGCGTCGATAACGAAACCTGCGTGGACACTACCTCCATCCCCAGCCGCAGCCCATTTCCTTCAGCCTGGCTTCTGTCCTGGCCACTGAGGGGCAGGGCGGCCACGCCCATGCTACCACAACTTCCAGGAGCCAGCCGACTTCGGGACACACGGCTGAGCAGGAGGCAAATCATGCTGCCCTGCGCCGAGGTTACTTGGAGGAGCAAACAAGAAACCGTGTGCCCTAAGGGAGCCCCCTTTCCCCCTCATGACCCAGTTTCTCCGAAGCCCCACATACCTCCCTGTGAACACAGCCAGCACTCGTGGTGTGACTTGAATGGCGGCCTTTGTCTGCTCCACCCCAGCCTCCCCCTCTGCATCCCAGAATCCTGTTTCATCAGCCACCTTTGAGTAATCCTAACTGGGCAGGTGCTCTAGTGGCAGAGCCCGGAGCGCGGCCAGCAGCCCCTGCCTGTTCCCGCTCTGGTTTGAACGTTCATGCAGGCAGAGAAAACCCATAGCTGTCGGAACCAAAAGGCCACCAGCCACCGGTAATTAAGGCCAGGCAGCAGCAAGTATGAAGAGGAGGGGGAAGCTAAGGGAGGGAGGGCGGGCTCATGCAAGTTTAAATGCTGGTGCAGGTATCCGAGCGCCTACTGAATAATGGATAGTACTCACTGCCCAGGCCGATGGCCAGTGCCAGTATCAAGGCGATGATCCCAATGACGATGATCGGAAAAAACTTCAAGGGCAGCAGGGACAGGATCTGTGCGGCCACTGCATCTGCATCTGAGAACCAAAGGGGTGAAGGGGATGGGGGGAGGCAGGGGGACCCGTTTTGAGTGACATAAAAAGTAAAGTCTAGCTCTGTATCCCGTGTCCCCTTTGCCCAGAGAAAGTACACCCGCCCAAAGAAAGCCAATGTCATTAGATGAGTGACCATGTTGTCTAGGCCAATCTCAGCCTCCCAGCTAATGGCCCAGTTCTCCGACCCAGCTTACAAGACATTGCTGTCTTGTAAGTGACAGGGGTGAAAAGGAGCCTTTGACACCCTAACCCCCCAACAGCCAAGAATGGGATCTTACTTTGAGGTCACAGGGAAAACAAGTTAGGATGAGGTCCTTAGGGCAGCCACTTGACTCTTTTGACTGGTGTCCTTGGGAAGAGGGAAATTTCAGCACAGACATAGACATGCATAGAAGAAAGATGACAAGAAGGGGCTAGGGGAACACAGAGCCGTGCAAAGATGGAGACCAAGGGTAAAATAGCATGTCCACGATTCTAGAAGCCCCGAGGCTGTTTGGTGGCCGAAGACCTGTATCTGCACAAAGCCTGGAGGCTCCTGGGTGCATCCATGGGAACGGAGCCTTACTGACATCAGGGCTCTCAGACTTCCGGTCCCCAGGAGGGAGACAAGAAGGCTGGGGACTGAGCCACCAGCTGTGGTGGCATTTTGTCCCAGCAGCCCTGGGAGAACAGTTGAAGAAAGCCCCAGGTTTCAAGGATGTGTCCAGAGAGGAGTGTGACGGGGAGATTTTCTATCAGGTGCTTGAGGCGGGGAGGCCCCCGAGCTCTCTCAACCCATCCCACGCTGGCCCTTCACCACAGAGTCACCGTCAGCCTCTTCTCTAGGCTGAGCACCATGTGTGTTGGCACGTCCCCTGGTGGGGAGGGGGGGGGCTGTCTGGTAGCTCCACTGCCCAGTTTAGCACTTTCCATGTCCTCTTCTAGATCAGAGGACTGGCTTGCAGCTCTTAAGGAGGGGGGTTCCTAGACTCCGGATTCTTCCACCTTCGAGGGATCTACACACTTATGCAATACTGACTGGGGAGGTGGCTGGCAGTGACCAGGGTGATGGAGCCAGATCCCTGCCCTTCACCCAGGGATGCCATGCCTCCTGGCTGCATCATCTATGACGTCATGGTAGGCTGACCTGCCAGACTGCAAGTAAGGTGAACACTCATACCCAAGTTGCCCTGCATAGCTACAGCGTGTTGACCCCTCCTCTCTGGTATGGCTTGGTTCGATGCTTAGTTTTCTATCAACTTGACACAAGCCAGGGTCATCTGGGAAAGGGGAATCTCAACTAAGAAAATGCCTTCCTTTGAGCATATATGTAGAGCATTTTCTTGATTAATGATGGGCATGGGAGAGCCCAGCTCATTGTGGGTGGTGCCACCCTGGGGCAGTTGGTTCTGGATGGCATAAGAAAGCAGGCTGAACAACCGGGCGGTGGTGGCGCACTTCTTTATTCCTAGCACTCGGGAGGCAGAGTTCAAGGCCAGCCTGGTCTATTGAATGAGTTCCAGGATAGCCAGGGTTACACAGAAAAATGCTGTCTTGAAAAATCAAAAGAAAGAAAGAAAAGAAAGGAAGGAAGAAGGAAGGAGGAAAGAAGAAAGGAAGAAAGGAAGGAAGGCTGAACAAGTCAGTAAGCAGCACCCTTCCATGGCCTTTGCTTGAGTTCCTGCCATCACTTCCCTGGATGACAGACTGCAAGCTGTGAAGCCAGTATAATCCTTTCCTCCCCAGGTTACATTTGGCCGTGGTATTTACCGCAGCAATAGAAACCGAGCTGGGACACTTGGGATGGTAAGTAAAACGCATCTCTCTAAAGAGGTCCCACAAAGGACTGATAAGCAAGAAAAAAAAAAAAAAAAAAAAAAAAACAAACAAACAAAAAAAACTCCCAGCCTGTCTGGAAATGAACAAACAAACAAAAACAACGAACCTAAATTCACCCTAACATCACAATGGCTTTGCTGTTACCGCTCCCCCTTATGCTCACGGTGGAAGGGATCACCAGCCTCTCAAACAGCACAGGTGTGGAATCGTGTTTGCTTCCCATTTGTGTGAGATTGGAGACGTATCTACACGGCTCCACAGCAGATGCAATTTTGGACCCATTTCTAGGAATGAATCCTAAATGTTGTCAAGGCTGTACACAGATTCTTATCGCCACATCCATTCGTGAAACTGGCAAACAGGAAGCAGCCTGAACAGCCAACGGAAGGGTACCAGTGAACCCTCTCAGCATCACTGCGGCACGGGTGGCATGGAATTCCGGGGGGCAGGGGGGGTCTTTTCAATTCGCAAACACTTCTCTCATTGTATCTTGTGTGCTCTATCCTAGACCAGATGGCTTAAAAAGAACCCTCAGGCAGTCCTAGATGCATGTTGTTCAGGGCTACAGCCAAGTTCCCACCCTCCGCCAGGCCCAGCGTCATCATTCCCATTGCTCCTGAGCCTGGCTCTCAGGACCAGGAGGCCGCAGATTGCTGTCAGCACAAAGACCCCATTGGAACCAACATCAGGGGCGGAGACACCTAACTGTGCAGGCCTGCGACTCCAAAGCCTGCTTTCCTTCTTTTTCTTTTTTTTTTTTTTTCATTTTAACCAGGCGCTTAACCTTTGCTGAATACAGCTTGCCTGAATTTTCTAGAAGGGCTACCGATTCTAAGGACTCCTGCAGGGCTCAGAGTTCTTCTGGCCAGGATTTGACCTCCTTCAGAGGGAACCAGAGCCACTGGTGGAGCTCCTGCTCCAGTCTCTAAAAACCCCCAAGAAGAAAGCTTAAACAAACAAACAAAAACACTGCCTCCAGGGAGTCAGCTCCCAGGCACCCCCTAACTCTGTGGCCCTGCAAGATCAGGAAAGGGGGGTGTCCAGCCAGTAATGTGAAAATACCCAGGTAGGATAGGAGTCATAACAGAGTGGTAGAGGGCCTACCTGGTATGTATAAGGCCTGGTTCGTTCCCCACTACTGTAGAGAGGGAGGGGGAAGGGAAGAGAGAAAGACAGACAGAGGGAGGCAGAGAGAGAGAGAGGAGAGAGAGAGCAGGAGAATGAGAGAATAGACTAGAAGATCCCCGCACCCCCAGATCACATTCACCACTTTTGCAAAGTCCCACCTACCTGGCACCACAGGACTTATTTTCAAATCATCCAAGCCGAAGAGCGATCGGAAAGAGAAGGGGGCTTCGGCGGCCGGAGGGTCATTCTCCCCCATGGTGACAACCTCAGGGCCTCTGATGTTGGGCTCCGGCTCCAGCTCCACCTGCTTAGCCAGGGATGAGCAAGGTTGGTCCCCGTGGAAAGTGTGGGTGCCAGGGGAGCCTCTGTCCCATTTCAGATCCTTTCAGTCAGACATGAAGCCCATTCCCGGTGGGTTTGTCACAGACACCTGTCTACTGGGAACACGACTTTCTCTGGACCACGGTAAACAGCAGAAAACAAGAGCGGAACTTTCATTCCTCTCAAGTAACAATGACGGTGTCCTCTGGGTCGCCAATCTTAAAAGCCAATCAAGTGGCACTCTTAGAGATAAGCCCCTTTGCCACACAGGAGTCATTGTGTCGTTATTCTTTAGAAGACTGTGACTGTCAGGGTGATTCCTAAGACTGTCCTCTTCCATCCTTCAACATTTTGGTTTTTCTTTCTAGCCATAAGGTTTACCTGTCATAGATGTAAGATGTTCCGATACTCGATTTATGTGTCTCAGGGAAGTGCCAGGGAAGGGGTACACTCTGTTAGTACCTTCCCACAAACACAGCCCTTTCCTGGCTCACGCTGGCGTGACCTACTTGAAAATGAAAGTATCCGAGCCCTGGGGACCCAGGCCACCCAGCCAAGTGAGGAGTGGCTGGGAGCCTCCGCCTCAGGCCAAACCCACACAGGGCTCAGGGCTCTGCTTCCTTCGGTAGAGACCTTCCAGAGAGGTCGGCGTGAACACAGAGCATCCTCCCAAATGCACAACCCAGCTTGCTCTAGGAATCTGCTTCCATCAAGGCTGAGGTCGGCAGAGGCCCAGAAGGCTGGTGAGCACAGCGATGAGTCTGTGTCTGCCTTCTTCCCGACTATGGAGCTGCTCACCATTAAAAGTTAAGCTGGTTTGCACAATATTAGGAAACTAAGCTTCCTGGAAAACCAGCCATTGGCGAGGATGCCCTCCCAAGAAGGCCTTGGTTGACAGATCCTTCATGGGGAAGTAGGAGCATTTTTCAGGGTGCGTTCTGTGAGCAGCCCCTACCCCCGGGCTCCCTTACTTACCATTTCTGGGGCCGCCATCACTCGAAGAATTGATAATTTTCTTTTTCATTATAAAAACTGGCAGCCTGATGAGCAGCTGGCAAAGGGGAGTCCAGTAAGGAAATAGTTCTACCGAGTCACCTGGTCTCGTTGACTCCCTCACTGAGGCCAGCGGCATCACCGTGGTGCCTCTGTAACTCAATCTGGACCTGGCTATCAGGTGGCCCTGGTGTATGGCCCCAGAGATGGGGAGAGCAGCTTGTAAATGAGCAAAGCCAGGAATACAGGCGTGTCACAGATGAACGTAGGGGCCGGGGACACTCCTTTCGTTAAGATAAATAAAGGCACCTAGTGCCAAACAGACAGCCCCACAGAAGGGCAGATCAGCACCATCCACCCAGGAGACTGAGTTGGTTTTAGTCCTACAGCTGCTCTGTGCCCCACAGACAGACTGGAGGAAGCCCTGAGAACCTAGAACACCAGAAAGGATTCCAGTTTGCCTTCTGTGCAACAGAAGGACAGGGGACAGAGCGAGCTCAGCAGAACAGACACGTTGAGTTCTGGGTGAGGGCCGGATACAGGGGTCCGAGTGGGCTGCAGCGAACAGGAGCCCACACCGGCTACACCCGGTGTTGCTGCAGTGGCTGGTGAGGTGTTTGGCAGCACTGTGCTTTCTCCAGATGCCAAAGGAGGGAGGGTCATGAGTTTGAGGCCAATGGGCTACAGGGCAGGTTCTAGACCAGTCTGGGTATAGTGAGACCCAAGGGGGGTGTGTGTGTGTGTGGGGGGGGTGTCTAGGCAATATAATTCACTCTATATTCCTGCCTGTCTCTACCTTCTCCACCCTTTCAGAAGTGTCTGGACTCATCCGAAGTCCTCCATGCTCACGGGGTCCTGTCTTATTTCTGACTGCTCTCCGGACCCCAAGATGAACAATTGTTGAGATTGTGATGGGAGACTTGGTTCTTGAAGCTTTCCTTTCTTTCTCTGAACCGGGACATCTTGGACAATGATCTAGAATGTTCTGTCATAACCCCCACAGTGCCCAGGACCAAGAAGAGCCACTTCTGAATCTAAGTGGTCAAACAGTACCGAATAGACACACAGATAACCAAGGGCCAACAGGATGCAAGCCAAAGGTCAAACAGGTTTCCCAGCCCCCTCGGCCCCCATTGGAGTCAACTGTCCATCAGGCTGGTTTCTTTCCTCTGTCTGACCTGAAAGACAACTATTTAAGGTCTGAAGAAAGGGAAAAAGTCAGCTAGAGGATTTCCTGGCTGATGCAAATGAGCTTTCTTCTCCCTCTTCCTCTCACCTACTTTCCTTCCTTCCTTCCTTCCTTCCTTCCTTCCTTCCTTCCTTCCTTCCTTCCTTCCTTTGTTTTGTTCCTGTTTGCTTAGTTCATTTTGTTTTATGAGTCAACATCACATCGGTTAGCCCAGGCTGGCCTCAAACTCACCATTCTCCTGCCGCAGCTTTAAGTTGTAGGATTACGGAGAGATGTGTCGGAACATTCCATATTTCAGTATATTGTAGATATAAACATAATTGCTCAAAAATATTATTTGGACAAGAAAAATCATATATGAATGGAGAAAAAAATCATATTTACCTTTTTTCCCCAATGGATAGTACACACACTCACCTCACGCATAAAGCCTCAGCTATGTTCAAGATGTTTTATAGACTGACCAGAACTTAAGGGTGTGGAGTGTATGTATGTGTGTGTTGAAATGCTGCAGGTCAAGAATCAAGTCATCTTGGGCTGTCTTTAACCCTCTTTAGGGTCATTTATCACTCACCTCTTTGTCTGACGTAACATCCCTTCAGCAAGTAAAAACCGCTGGAATGCAATAATTTAGCAGACAACTGACTTCTATCACCCTAACGCTGAGCATGGCATCGGATGTCACCTGAGAGTTATAGGAGAGAGGCCTTCGCTTTCCTGTAACCCACTATCTGATGTCCCGGGCAGTGTGTTTGAAAATGCCTTTTGTTCCGCGACTATAAAAAGTTTGTGTCGCCCTTCCACAGCGAAGCATTGTCATTCAGGGTAACTCGAAGCCATGTGAGTCACAATAACCCATCTCTTAATTCCCTTTGGAGCAAGAGGTGAGTTTGGCCTTGATGGTGGCGAACTTTGTCTATTTCTAACATTTCAATTCAAGATGAATCAGTTGACTGGGCTATCCCTTTGGGTCCCTCCGGGGAAAAGGAGAATGAAGTGAGGCCTGGAGTCCGCCACAGCGAATGAAACAGAGAAAGAGACTGCCGGCTGACCCTTAGGTGTGGAATGTGCAAAAGGAAGAATGTAGCAGAGAACAAAATGGTGGCTGTTAGGTTAGGGGGGGGAAGTGAGAAGAAGTGGGGAGACGTGAATCACGAAGGGTGTAGAGTGTAGACTGTAGAATGGGCATATCCAGAGTCAGGTGTGACCTCACAGCTACAGGGCAGCTCTGAATGCTGGGAAATGTGGAAAGCCGATTTCAAAGGGCAGAGGATGGAATCTGGTTACCAGCACCCGCGCTAGAAGGCTCACAATTCCTGCTCCAGGGGATCCCAGCACCTTCTTTTGGTACCCACACATGTCTGTATAAATACACACAAATAAAACTTTTTAATTAAAAACAAATATGTAATGAGATCTGGTGCCCTCTTCTGGCACGCAGGTGTACATGCAGGAAGAATACTGTATACATAATAAATAAATAAACAACAAAAAAACACTGATGCAGGACCCCTTTAAAAAAGTGTTAGTACGTTGAGTTCAGTGACTGATAGAAAAATGCATAAGCATACATATATTATATTATATTGTATTGTATTATATATGATATTGTATTATATTATATTAATTATATTATGTTGTGTTATGTTATATTATATTATATTGTTATATTATATATAACATTATATATGTGTGTGTGTTTATAGACTCAGGATTACTCTTAGGAAACCAGATCGAGTTAGCATCAAAAAGCTGACTTTTGCCTTCACTGGAAGAACGTGCCAGGTGATGGTATAATAAAACCACACATAGCCCTAATGTTCCAACAGCAATTTGAAAGGAAGAGGAAGACCGCTGCTGCTCAGAGACTGGCTCATATTGGGGCAGTAGAAAGTGCAAAAGAATCTCTGAGCTCCAGGAGTAGCATGCAAGCTTAGCAAAAGCTTTGGATGTGGGATCCTTATACAAAACTCAGTTGTATTTCTCTACCCCTGCCAACAACTGGAAACTGGTATTGTCTTAAAGCATCATTCACCGGGGGCTGGAGAGAGGCCTCCATGGTTACGAGTACCCGCTGCTGTTCCAGAGGACCCAGGTTCAGTTCCCAAAATCCACATGGCCGTTTACGGGGGATCTGATGCCCTCTTCTGGCCTCTGGAGGCACCAGACATGCATGTGGCGCACATGCATACATGCAGGCAAAATACCCATAAAGATTAAATGTATATATTATATGTATAATTATTTAAAACAAGGCCTGGTGATGCAGGTAGAAGCGGAAGGATCAGGAGTTCAAGGTCATATTTTACTTCATAATGAGTCCAAAACCAACCTGAGCTATAGGATAGAAGCCTTATATCATATTTATGTGCATAAATATATATGTATATAGGTATGTATATATACACATAGAAGTATATATGTGTGTATATATATAACTTATAATATCATCAAAAACATAAATGAGGGGCCAGCAGGATTGCCCGGCAGGTAAAATGCTCGTCATACAAGCCTGATAACCTGAGCATGAACACTAGAACTGCACAAAGGGGGACGGGGAGAAGCAACTCTCCCAAGTTGCCCTCTGACCTCCACACGTGGCCATGGCCTGCATTCACTCACAGGTACACAGGTACACAACACAACACACACACACACACACACACACACACACACCCATCATAAATAAAATATTTTTTAATTAAGAAAAAGAAACTGAAAACTACAAAACACCACTAGGAGAAATTAAGTAGGGAGAGATACTGTATTCATGGAATCGAAGACCTGATACTGTTAAAATGTCAGTTCCTTCTCAAACGATCTGCAGATTCAATCTAACCTAATGCATTGGGTTTTTTTTGTTATCTTTAGCATTCCTTTCGTTGCTCTTAAGATCAGTTTTATTGAGGCTTACTCCACAGGCTGCCAAATGTGCTCATTCGAAACACTTAGTTTGGCTGTCTTGGGGAAAAAAATGATACCATTGTAAACACCACCCAGCCAGGTCCCTCAGCCCACAACATGCTCCCACCCTGCCTCAGGCAGCCACTGATCTGCTCCTTACAGCTATAGAGAGATCTTATCTTGCCTGTCTAAATGTCACGGAAATAAATCCATACAGCGAGCGACACGGTGCCTGTCCCCAGGGGCTCAGCACAGTGAGCTCCTGTGCTCTCTGGTGCGGAAGGAAGCAGGGCTGTGGCGCTTCCTGTGGATGAGCCCAGCTGCCCTGAGCACACAACTTCTGCGTGTGTTCACCGCTGGATCTGACTTGGACTGTTGGGGTCTTTTCCAGTTTGGGGCTGTGACGAATAAAGCCACCGTGGATGTTTAAAGAGGGTTGGGGGGGGGCACACGTTTTGATGTTGCCCTGGTAAAACCTAAAATCAGAATTGGTCATGTAGTAAACGCGTGTTGGCCTTTATAAGAGACGGTGTCGACGTGCTTTCCAGAGTAGCTGGCCGAAGGACGAGCTCACGGAAAACATGGGAGTTTCAAGCATTCTCTCACCTTGTTAAAGCTTGGCCTTGTTGGTGCTTTTGACTTTGGCTCCAAGTCTAGCCAGTGTTCTGAAACTGCGCTGTGCTCTTCATCTATACCCCTCAGTGATGAATGAGGCCAGACACCTTCCATGACTGCTCCAGTCTCTTCTTCACCATTTAGACACTTTCCCAATTTTAAACTTGCTTATTGGTTCTCTCACTAGCCGTTAAGAATACCTATTTCACAAACACACTGTATATTCCGGGTATCGGACCAAGTATGTAGGCTATGTAGGCGGGGAGCGTTTTCTCCCACTCTGTGGCTTACCTTTTCTTTCATTTCCTTTACAGTACTTTTCAAAGAGCAGACGCTTATGACTTTGATGAAGCCCAATGGGGAAGAATAAAAGATCATTGATTATGCTTGTTATGCCCTAAGACAGTTTTATAAACTAAAACACAATACGCTTTTTTTTTTCTAGGCTTTCTTCGACAGGTTTTTAATAGGTTCAGATTTTACGTTCAAGCCCGTTGTCCATTTATGCCGCCCAGTTCCCTAGCATGGTGACTGAAACAGCAGCCCTTCCTGGAGAATGGCAGTGACCGATTACTGACAGTTGACTGACCTATGTGTGAGCCATGTGCAGCCTCCATGGTACACATGCAGCCTGCTCTTTGGATTTACATTTAAAAAGCCAAGAGCGTAGGACAACCCCACAGACACAGCTCACTCTCATACCATAGTGATTAAAGAACGAACACAAAAAAACGAACAAATCAGGCAAGAGAAGACGACAGAGCCAGAAGCAAACTCCATCTGTCAATCCCTTGGCATGAGCTGGTCTTGTCAATGAAAATAAAGAACCTTCAGCCCTGCCTCACACCATACACAAAACGACCTCCAACCGGCACTGAGCTAAATGGGAATGACAACAGCAAATCTTCTAGAACAAAGCTGAGGGGACTGTGGTCACTGGTTCGGATAAACGATTTCTCAAACAGGATGCAGAAGATGCCAACCAGAGCTGATAAACAAAACAAAATCTAACAAACCAAGGAGGGGAAATGAGCAGAGAGATCCAAGAAGACACTTCCCCAGAGAGGCTGCCCCATGCCCAGTAGGCCTGTGACACAGCACCGGCATCATGGAGAGCAGGTTGCAGCCATAGTGAGATGCGTCTGTGCACAGACCACAGGGTTGACAATGCCAGGCCTTTCACCCTCTGCTGGCCCGAGGGCAGACTGTGGCCTCTCCCCACATGTTCATAAGCCAAGAGAGAGATGGAAGAGCCAGGAACCATTTAGTAGGCTGTTACTCAGCAACAGCAATGAACAAATACAGAGCAAGTGAGAGTGTGGACAAATCCCATAGGCAGAATTTGGAGCAAAGGGTTAAAGTGCTTGTCTAGCGTGGATGGAACCCTGGGTTCAATCCCTGAGAAGAAACCAGCCATGACAGAGCATATGCTCCAGTGTTCTAGTGACATGAGGCTCTGAATTAACATACGGAAGAGCCTAGTAGGGGCTGGGGAAGAGTCAGGGTGGGGCAGGGATACGTCTAAGGTTCTGGAAAGTCTTGGAGCGGGATTTTGCCCCCTGCGTTGCCGGCACTGGACAAGTCCACCTGTAGCTGTACAGACAAATTCGAGCCCTGTGGTGTCTGTGGGTGACAGCCACTAGTTGCCAGCATGTCCCCACCCTTCCCATTGTTTTGGCAACCACAAATGTCTTCAGACACTGCCAGATGTCCCTTTAGAGAGGGGCATAAAACTAAAATGCCCTGGGTTTCACATTATTGTTTCATTGGTCCCGGAGGGGAGAGGCAGAATGTGCTCGCTCTATGGAAATTCCTCGTGCTACGTGCACAGCATTGAACTTGAAAAATTCATTAATAAAATAGATCAATGAACACTTTAAAAAAAACGATTTTTTTAGTGTTTTAGAACAAGCAGGGACCGTACGTAGAAAGAATTTCAGTGTCTTGTCTGTAGACAAGGGTGTACCCGGTGGAAACCCACGGGAGGAGCCTGTTCCAGACTTCTGATGCCCCGACCTTCTCCCACACTCAGTACTTCCCCCCCCCCCAATGCTTCCCGAGTGCACGAGAGCACAGCAGATCCTGATGATGAACTGTGTCGGCGCAGACCCCGATGTGGAAGCAGGTGGGTTTGGAAGACACTGCCTCGGACCCACAGGGAGAATTCAAGCCCGTTCGTTGCGCAAACAGGATATTCGCCTGTGTCAGAAAGATCAAACGAGGCTTGAGGTTTTTCTTCACAACCTCAAGCCTGCCTCCTTCTCTCCTCTCACTTTATCTGGCCCTTGCAGTGAGCAGGCGGCCTCTTGCTCGGCAAGCAGGAAGACATGGCTGCGGGGGAGACTCAGCTCTACGCCAAGGTCTCCAGCAAGCTCAAGGGCCGAAGCACCGCCTCGCTCCTGGACCCCCTCCTGGCCATGGGCTACCCCACACATACCGCGTGAGTACAGCAGCTGCCACGGCCCGGAGGCCTGGCTTGCCTGCCTGGGTGGACCCCTCTGCCGCCACACAAGGGTTGCTCACGTCCTGCTAAAGTGATCGCCTCACAGTGTGAGATGGTGTCTCGGAAGAGGGCTCCTTCCTCCTGGCCTTGACCTTTGAAAGGGCAGCTCTCCCCACTGACTGACAGAGACCCTGAGACACGTGCACTCTGGGAGCCATGTGGGTCTCTGGCTGCCCGCTTGAGGGGTTTGGAGGAGTGAGCGTTAGGGCAATCACTCACACTTCAGCTCAGTGACTCCAGAGGTGACATTTCAAGGCATCTGACTCTGATGAGTCTCTAAGGCTAGGATCTGCTGGGACAGTTACCATTTGAGTTTCTGAGCAGCCCAGGGAGATCCATTTGTCTCTAGGGGGAAGTATCAGGAATGTCCGGTGGGTGAGAAATTCCAGAGACAGCCAGGCTCAGCACCACCCGGCTCATCCAAGCCCACAGGCTCAGAGATGCTGATGGCAGTCACAGCGCCCATCGCAAACCTGCTTCTTAGCCGTGGTCCCCTCTGATCCTGACGCCCAGGTAGACACAAGTCAGAAGTGTGCTTCGGGGAATTCGGGAACAAGCCAAACCCATTCAGTGAGGTGACTAGTCCCTTCTCCTCCCGATATCAGGACTTTGTCGCCACTAAGTGGGCGACAGAACCCAGCCCATCAGGGAGCCGTCAGTCAAACATTCCCCCTCCAGCTGGCAATGAGAACACTAAAGGCCTAAAGGATAGCCTGCCGAGAGCCTAGGGCAGGCAGGAGCCAGATCTCAACACCTCCAAGACCCGCTCGGTTTCACTGGTCAAGCCGTACGGTGGGCTCGCCTTCAGAATCCCCGCTGGCCTTAAACAGTAAACACCTGCGTGTCTTAAAGTCCTTGCTCAGGCAAGACTCATACACGGCCTCTCTGTCTCGGCCTCTCCGCGTGGCTACATCCCCATTGCTCTTCACACAAACAGCTCCAGTGCTGGGCAGCACCACATTTGGGTTCCAATGGGAGCCAGCTGCATGATTGCTGGGTCCACGGCCAACTCTGGTCTCTGTGGTCCAGCTCAGCCAAAATCAAGTCAAGGTATTCACATCCCAGGTGCCAGAATGCATAAGACACATGGGCGCCACGAGGAAAGCGCCAATGAGCATTTGAGAGTGAGGCATACAGGAGGGGAACGAGGAACAGCCTGCCCAGCAGCTGGCTAAGGGGTGCTTCCTGCTGAACAGTTGGGGTGGGGCTGCAGCTGTCAGGGAAGCACAGGCCAGAGCCAGGAATGCAGCCTGTCCCAGCTCACGCTAGCATCCACAGGTAAGTTAGGTCAGCTTTCTGGCAGGGTAGCAAGGTGCAGAGAGAGGAGCGCAGGAGAGAGGTCGGGTCTCCAGCGCTAGGACTCCAGGGTCTGGGAACAGGCGATCAAGAGGTGGGAAGAGAGCTGGTAGGGGGGTTGGGGCATGAGTCACTGTGTGAAAGATGGAGGTCTCGGCATAACGGCACCTGTCAGGAAGTCCAACAGCTTAGCCCTGGTAGGTCACAGTGTGGATGAGCAGCCATCTTACTGCTAGAACTCAGCCCTTCCAAAGAAGAGACCCTTAACCTTGACCGTCCTGTGTTCATGTTCCCCAGGCTCAAAGCGCTAGCAGCCACAGGAAGGAAGACGGCAGAGGAGGCCGCAGACTGGTGAGTGGGATGGGGGCTGCAGGGCTACAGGGGGGCTTGGGTGAGACCACCAGGACTCTATTCCCTGGGTGGGTCCTCCGAGTGGGATAGGGTGTCTTCGGAAGTGACTCAAAATAACATTCAGTTCTGAGCCCCGGGGAAATAATATAACCCTGCTGTAAGACATGAGAGAGAATCTAGAGGTTTTTCTCACTTAAAAGCCAGATGTAGACCTCTGCACAGATCTCTGGGATGCTGGCTTCCATTCCTAAGTGTGCACACGCGCACACACACACACACACACACACACAAATGATTTAATCCAAATTCGGCCCACACAAATTCATGCTTACGGTATATGTTAAAGAAGTAGGAAGGAGTCCTTTGTTTTGATATAAAATTCATCATGCTCTCAGGCCACTGCAGACGGGAAGGGACTTTGAAGACAGTCATGGACCCCCAAGCTACCTCAGGGTACATCTGGAGGAGGGTTAGGGAAAGATGACTTAACTCCCACTCCAGGCCCCTGCTTCGGGTGGGTGTGTTTGGGGAGGGGGGGCCCTTGTTCTTAGGAGCTCCTCCCCACGCTTGGTGTCACTTGACACCACGTTCCCAGCTGGGAAGTTCTCCTGCTCTTGTCTGGAGAAGCCACAGCGAAAATCCGGTGATAAAATCTGGGCTTGGCGGTGGCTCAGTGGTGAGGGCTCCCCTATGGAGCATGAGTACCTGGGTCTCGGATCAGCTCCCTTCCCTGCTGCTGAGATCAAATGTCTGACAGAGGCAACGAAAAGAAGGAAGGGCTAGTTTGGAGGCGTCTGAGGGTGTACTCCATCACAGCGGGAAAGCCATGCTGCATGAGAGGGCTGGCCTCTAGGAACTCACAGTGAGGAAGCCGAGAGAAATGAATGTTAGTGCCTGAAGCACACACTCGCAGGTGCCCGCCCCCCCCCCCAACCACCACCACCACTGGTACTCAGCTCACTCTTCCCTCTCAGTAACCCCTGTCCACGGGCTGGTGTCACTCCCTCAGTTTGAGTCTCCTTTCCTTAGCTGATCCAGTTTGAGTCTCCTTTCCTTAGCTGAACACGCCTGGCAGTTTGTCTTCTAGGACTGATTCTAGAAACTAGCAAATGAACAATCAATATGCGCTATCCCAGGTCCCACGTCTGGCCCCGCCTAAACAAAGCAAAAACTCTCCAGCACTGGATAGAAGCCTGTGAAGGGGCCCCGGGATTCTGTGTTCAGGGAGACCTCTTCCCCTAAGACCAGAAAGCCCACAGGCAGAGGGCACACAGGCGAGGGCACACAGGCAGAGGGCACACAGGCAGAGGACACACAGGCGGAGGGCCCACAGGCGGAGGGCCCACAGGCAGAGGGCCCACAGGCAGAGGGCACACAGGCGAGGGCACACAGGCGAGGGCCCACAGGCAGAGGGCACACAGGCAAGGGTCCACAGGCAGAGGGCACACAGGCGAGGGCACACAGGCTGAAGGCACACAGGCGAGGGCCCACAGGCAGAGGGCCCACAGGCGGAGGGCACACAGGCGGAGGGCACACAGGCGGAGGGCACACAGGCAGAGGGCACACAGGCGAGGGCACACAGGCGAGGGCACACAGGCAGAAGATAAACAGAGAGCTCACAGGCAGAGGCTCCACCAGCTGGGGGAATGCCCAGAGTCCTGGCAGTCTGCCTCTACAAGACACGGGGAATGCCCAGAGTCCCAGCAATCTGAATTCAAAGCCAGCGTCCGGATTCAAACAATTCACTGTAAGCCAAGCTCAGTGCTGGGAAGGGCCAGTAACAGCCTCGCCAATGAGACCCACCAAGGAAGAGGGATAAAGCCACGTCCCCTACAATTGCCTGAGAGTGGTCCTAACCTCATATGGGGATCAGGGAAGCACAGATAAGAAAAAGGACCTTTAACGCTGTTGAGGCGGAGGCAGCGTGCAGTGTGTGTCAGCACCTGGAACAGGAGAAGCTGACCGTCTGACTCCACACAGTTCCACCTGTATGTGGAGATCTTAAAAGTCAGACACACACACACACACACACACACACACACACACACACACACACACACCCCAGGTACACAGAGCTCCTGAGCACTGTGTTGGAAGCTTTGGAAAAGTGAAAGTAATTGAAATGTGTGGTGGTTTGAACAGGAATGGCCTCCACAGACTCCTGTTTGCCCCATAGGGAGTGACACTGTGGGAGGTGTGGCCTTGTCGGAATAGGTGTGGCCTTGTCGGAGGAAGTGTGTCACTCGTGTGGAGTAGGGAGGAGGGGGTCTTTGGGTCTCAGCTGTTCAAGCTAGGCCCGATTGTGGCAGTCACTCCTGCTGACTGTGGATCAAGACGTAGCACTCTCCTTCCCCAGCTCCACGTCTGCCTGCACGCCGCCAGGCTTCCCGCCAGGACGATAACGGACTAAACCTCTGACACTCTAAGGCAGCCCCAGTTAAACCTTTTCCCTAATAAGAGTTGCCATGGTTGTGGCGTCTCTTTATTGCAATAGAAATAAAAAGTCTCTGGATTTGGAAATGGGTGGAAGCAATGTTCCATATTGTGTGAAAGGGACTGTGAGACAGCCTTGGGAAGACTCGTGCTGGCAATGAACCTACGTGTCTATTCTTTCCATGAAAGAGCCCAAAAGGCAGGTCACAGAATGGCTCGAACAGTAGTACATGATTTAGGCAAACACACACACACATACATACACACACACACGCACACGCTCACTGGACCTGCCGCAAATGCACCATTGGGGTGAGCTCGGGAAAGAGCACAAGGGGAGCCAAGAGGCGCAGGCCCACCTCCGATCCAGATTACCGTTACCGTTAAGGACATTTGTTCACACACAAGGTAGGGACCAGGAGCTCTCCAAAGCTGTAGCCGCAATGAGCTGAGTAAGGTCACTCCCGTTTAGCTCTTGCCTGACAGAGATTTTCCGTGTGAGTTTTTGCCTGTGCAGCTTGCCCTGCCCTGGGGAACAAAGGCAGAAATGTTCATTTAAGGCGCTGAGCGTCTTCTTCCGCGTGTGCCGGCAGCGCGCTCTAAGGAATGGTTGCGCACCCGCAGCCCGCGCTCTCGCCGCACTTTTAACACGATGGAAAACAGCACTGGACCTTCGAAACGAACGCCAGTGTTAACCTGACCAATAAGATAAACTGCGTCTTTTCCATTTTTATTTCTCTTTGCAATGAACTTGTCTTTGAAGCTGTGCGTCCGTTTTTCTCGTATTTAGCGTGGATTTTCTTAGCTAGGTGTGGTAACTCACACCTGCAGTCCCATCGGTGAGGAAGCTGAGACAAGCAAAATCACCATCAGGCTCCCCTGCCGTATACAGAGAGCTGCCTCGATAAACAAATAAATGCTTTTTTTAATCTAAATAAATAAATAAATACTTTTTCAGGGGGAAAAAAAAAAAGTAGCATTCGCCTAAATGTTGTCCAGTCTTTTGTGGTTTCAAACTTTCCGTTTAATTTGCAGTCTGCAGTGAAGTTAACATGTGAAGAATATCCCTCTGTGTTTCAATACCACATTTAAAGGTTGGGCTCTGGTCTTCTCTGCCGTTGGCTGCATTAGGATGCTGTAATGGGGCGAAGAGCAGGAGATATGCAGTGGTCTAGCCTGGAGCCACACAGCCCCCACCGCCTGGAGCCATCTTGCAGGGATGGCCACAACACTGTGTGTTTGTATGAGATCAGCACACCCCTAACTTTGGGCTGGTGACACTGCTGTTACGTGTCCTCAATGGGGACAGCTCCTACTGATATGACAGGTTTGGTTTTTTGTTTGTTTGTTTTGTTTTTCTTTTGCAGGCTACATGGCCACTGCAGTGACCCTTCACTGGATGACCCTATACCTCAAGAGTATGCACTCTTCCTCTGCCCCACGGGGCCTTTGCTGGAAAAACTCCAAGAGTTCTGGAGGGAGAGCCGACGCCAGTGTGCAAAGAACAGAGCTCACGAGGTCTTCCCTCACGTGACGCTCTGTGACTTTTTCACGGTGAGTCCACCCCAGAGGCCTTAAACGCTCACCACTGCGGCTTATGTCAGTTTTCTCTGGTAACGAGGCAACAATAGAACACAACTGCTTTATTTTAACCAAGACATTAGCACGAGCTGGCTCCTTTTCAGGGAATCTTTTCCTTCCTCTGGTCAACTTCAGTTCCTCCTTCGGGACCCGATTCATTTTAGTCTTCAGTTCCCCAGGGAGAAGGAGGTATGACCCTAGGCTCTCTGTATCTTTCTAACTATCTGTAGGAGCACTTTTGGGTGATGTGCCCCTCTAGGAAGGCAGATGTTGTCCTAGTCCTTGTCTACTCAGAAACTAGCAAAGTCCTGAACAGAGCAAGAGCCCCCTGTGTGATGAAAAGACTGAAGAATGCTGGTTTGGGCTAGGCATAAGCCAGGGTCTTCCCTACATCAGGGCCTGGACCTCTGGGAGAAAAGAAAGGTCAAGCCAGCAGCCTCCCCAGGGAGCATTGCCAAGGCAAGAGGATGCATGGTTGAGGGACAAAGAAAGGAAGGGCTAAGGCAAGGAGGAGGACCTGCAGCCCTTTCCTCTATGCCTCTGTCTGATGAGCTAGAGAAAGGCCCACATACTCCTGGGACATCAGGGCAGGGCTTTGTTCTGCCACTCCACAGCGATAGAAGGCCACAAAGCACAATCAGTGTGCAACAAAGAAGCTTCCAGAAGCTATCCCCTGGAAAGCAGCACCCCCCAAACATCCACAAAGCACCCCCATGTCCCTGAAACTAGGAGGTCTCTGGGTTCAGAACTAAAGTGTTGCTTCCTGGGGGGTCTGAGCTGGCATCCAGGGGGGCAGCATGAGCTTCCTCAGAGTTCACTGGAGAATTCCAGAAGTTACCATGTGCAAACTGAGACAGGCAAGGAGCATGGAAGGAAAGAGGACTGACTCGGGAGGTGACAGGCTCAGGGGGGAGGGTGAGTGACAAGAGAATTCCAACCTAGGCATGTAAAGGAGATTGTATTCCAGGAAGACTTTTTATCCAAGATGCCTCAAGTAACTGAGCAGCAGATGGGGGAGAGGGGTGTGGCCCTTCACTCTATAACTGCAGGGGTAAACCTTGGACAGAGAACAGCCCATGGCGATTAAGCCTTAATTCTTAACAGGTGAATCCATTCAACAAGTTGAGGATACACGAGTTCTCTGCTTCTCTTCCCTTAGTGTGAAGACCAGAAAGTCGAGTGTTTGTACGAGGCTCTGAGGCGAGCAGGGGACAGGATCCTGGGCTCCTTCCCCGCCCTGGTTCCTCTTGCTCTCCATTCTTCCACCAGCTACCTCGGCTTCTTCATCGACGACAGCCCCGCCGACATCATCCGGGAATTCGCCGCGGCGTTCGCCTCTGAGGCCTCAGTCTTGGCAGGTAGGAGAGCCCAGCTGGGGGCATCCCACTGAACCCTTTGGGTCCCAGCAGGGTCAGGCCTAAGGACTTGATGGCTTAGCACCTGTCCGTGGTGAAGGCTCTTTAGTGACCATCCTCCAAGGGACAGTTGAACTCTTGTCCTAAGGCAGCACGTAGACCACTGCCTCAGACACCTGTCTCTCCGTCCCAGGAATGGGCCTCACAGGGTTCGCCTTAAGAGTGGGGAGGAAGCTCCAAGGGTATGTCTCAGTTAGCAGAGAGCTTGCCAGGGCGTGAGGTTCTGTCCTCAGTGCAGCCTAGTCCAGGCATAAGGCCCATGTGCCTGTCATCCAGAAAGGGAAGGCAAGAGGATCAGAAGTTTGAGGACACCCTTCACTAGACAGTGAAGATGACTCCTAACTTTATTTTACGTGAGACCCTGTCTCAAAAGAGGAACAAACAAACCAGAAATGGAGAGAGGAAAGAAAGAGGAAACTGAGGCTGAGATTGCCCAGCGGGAACCCCTGCCCAGCGTCACCTTATTATGTTAAACAGGGTCCCCTCTCACCAGGAACCTCAGAACAGAGCCTTATTTATCAGTGGGTTCTTTAAAAGATGCAATTCATTAAGATGAGGTCACGCTGGAGTAAAGTGACCCTAAATCACTGGTATCTGGTGATTGAACCCTAAATCAATAACTCTAAATCAATAATGGTCCTGAAAAGGGCACATGATGACAACTAGGAGAACACTTGACCACAGAGGCAGAGATGGGCAAAATGGAGCCCCAGCCAAGGGATGCCTGGGGCCACCAGGAGAGAGATGATACCCAAAGACCCACCCCGAGAGCCTTGGGAAGGAATGTGGCCCTGCACACACCTTGAATTTGAACGTCTGGCCTCCAGATCTCAAAGACAATAAACTCTTGTTTTACACCACCCGGTCTGGGGATCCTATTGCGACAGGAAGTGCCGTGCTCACCTATCTTGGTGGCCTAGAACTGAGTGTTATGCCTCATTGAACACTGCCAGTCATTAGGCCTGGCTTCTTGGGAGAGCTAGCTCATCGCCATCGCCTGACCCTGACAGAGCTCTTCCTGCCTTCCCAGCTTATACCTCAGTCTGACCTGAGAGGCTGGGAGACCTTCCTGGAATGACAGCTCAGGAGTGTCCCAAGTCCCTCCCTGCCCACACTGGCCCTCTCAGTGAAATTGAACCCAGGTACACAGGGCAACAGAGGGCAAACAAAGGCCTATTCAAAAGTCTGCATGAGTCACCCCTGGGTTTCTGGAGAAGCCAAATCAGGTCTTTCCCAGGCTGTGCTGACTCACATTGGGAGCACACCCTCCCCAACTACTAAAATGTGTCACAAAAGGAATTTCCCATCACACATATATACACACTCACCCTTCATGCCACCTGGGCTGGCTGCTTGCCCAGAAGCTTAGGGCTCAGGGACCTGGCCAGGGTCCATCCAGCTGCTAAAGGTCCCTATGTGGAAAACACTGTGGTGAACCTAGTGTCATGGTACCTGAACCATCCAGAACTTTCATTAGGGGAATAACACATCCTGTCTGCTTCCTGACCTACATGCAGAGGAGACCAGCAGCTTTCGGGCACTGAGAGTCCTCAGTGGACTCCAGAGTCCTGGAACCAGCTATCTTTGTCATCAGGGCCTATCTGTCAAGAAGGAAACTCAGTTAGAGCTTGACTCCCAGCCAAAGCCCCTGTGGTGACAAGCACGGAAGATCCTTGAAGTGGGCCCTGACACGGTCAAGTCTGTGCCATTCTTACTAAGACACCGGGCTGCCTCCTCAGAGCCTGAAATGCTTATGGTCCAGCTGACACCAGCTCCATCTGTTCCTGAGATACTATCCTCTGTTGTTTATTGACCTGAAAGACTCAAAGGCCAAGCTGGAGCCAAAAAGTTCTCAGGGTCAGAGGCCATCACAAAGCACCAGGCCTCAGCACTACCAGGGTTTCCGGTGAGGAAAGGCAAATGAACATCAGACACGCTGCAGGTTTTATAGTCCACAGCTCAGGGAATTTTCTTCCTGAGACTCTTCTTTAAGCAAAAGGCATTGGCCTAGGCTGGGGAGTGTAGCTCGATGGAGAGAGAGTTTGCCTAGCAATGACAGGCCCTAGGTTCAATCCATAGCAATGCACAACCAGAAATGGATGTGAGCACTTATGATCCTGTCACTCAGGAAATAGAGGTAGGAGGGTCAGAATTTCAAGGTCATCCTCAGCTATACAACAAACTCAAAGCAGCCTAGGGCTCGTGAGATTCTGTCTCAAACCAAAACCAAACCAAACCAAACCAGCTCCAACCTAGAGTCTCCTGTTGTGTGTGCATGGGAGAATGAAGGGGCCAGTCACTGCACTTCTGTCATTGAAACTGTCTTGCAGGCAAAGAGCTCTGAAGACCTTGATCCACATCTCTGCACCTGCCTTTTCTTCTTCAAACACTCTGCAAGCATCCAACCACATCCTTCCTAATAGGGAGAGCCGGTCCCTGTCAAGAAAGCGCCAACTCTAAGGGGCAGGTGTGGTAGAGCAGAGGCATGATGAAGAAGGGTTTCTGCCTGTTCCGGGCAGGTAGCAGTGACATCCAGGGACAGGCTCTCAGCACCCCCATTCTCACCTGACTTGGGTACCCAACATGCCACGCTCTGTTCCCTTGACATCCAGGATGAGCTACCCAGCATCCTGCGTTTCCTTGACTCCACAGACTGCACCGTCAAGCCGTGCACCAAGCAGCTGCACCTGACCTTGGCCCACAAGTTCTACCCTCACCACCAAAGGACCCTGGAGCAGCTGGCCAGAGCCATCCAGCCCAGCCACACCTGCCAGTGGACGGCTGCTCTGTACTCCCGAGACATGCGTTTTGTGCACTACCAGGTAAGAAGACCTGGCTGGGCCGGTGGGCTGGCCCAGCCTTTCTTACCGACAGGAAGTGATAAATGTTCTCCTGACAGCACTCATCCCTACAACCTTCCCTGAAGAAAACAGGGGGCTCAGCTCTGCTGGAGCCTTCTCCTCACCTGCAGTTTAGAAGGATCATCCCTTTATAGATGAGTTGGGCACATACAGTCATTTCAAAAGACGATGAAAGCCCTCCCACAGTATTGGAGAAGCCTCTTGTCAAGATGTGTCGATGCATGCTTTACTTATTGATTCACCCTACATAGTGATTTTGATGGGCTTCATCCCAAGGTTCCCTTTCCTAAGAGCTGATTAGTTGGGGAAGAAAGTATGTCACACAGGGAATCCGTATGAGGAAGCCCCAACATTGCCCGTCGTAAGAGAAATTGTAAGTAGCTTCACACCAAGGAAGGTAGATCTGCACCTTTGCTCGCCCTGTAAGGTGTTTCCTATGAGAGGAACAGATACATGTATAAATGATGCGTGAATGGATAGATTGGTAGGGGGTGGGTGGATGGATGGATAGGTAGGTAAATATAAATGGGTAGATGAATGGATGGTGGGTGGGTTTATGAGTAAGTAGATGGATAGGTAAATTGGTGGATAGATGGATGTCTGAGGGGGTGAGTAGACAGATGTGTGGATGAAGGGGGAGTGGGTGCGTGAGTAGATGGAACAGATGGGTTGGTAGGTGAGTGGGTGGGTAGAAAGATGAGTGAATAAATTGACAGCTGGATGACTGGATGGATGAAGGAATCAGAAAGTGGGTGGGTAGATGGATGGACGGATGGATAAGTGGATAGAGGGAGGGATGGATGGATGGATGATGGATGGGAAAATGGTGTCTGAGTAGATGGACAGCTGAATGCAAGGGTGGCTGGGTGGCTGGGTAGGCAAAAAGATAGACAAACGTGTGTAAGCAGATAAATGAATGCCCCAGGCGGGTTCACAAGAGGACGGGTGGAAGGAAGGAAGGAAGATGGAGTTTTATTTCTAAATCCACCTAAGATTATCACTCTGCGGCATTTGGCTACGTGCCACATCGTGTACCATTAGGCGAGGATGAAGGGACCCTGGAGGCATAAGACAGATCAGAGGAGCCAGAAGGCGAGACAGAAGGTATCTGGCCTTTGCATCCCAGCCGAACCCTCACCAAAGCATGGGTCTCCTGACCCCCTTCCAGACCCTGAAGGCGCTGTTCCAGTACAAACCCCAGAACGCGGACGAGCTAATGCTCATTCCTGGTGACTACATCTTCGTGGACCCTACTCAGCAGGAGGAAGCCAGCGAGGGCTGGGCCATCGGGACCTCACATCAGACTGGCTGCCGGGGCTTCTTGCCGGAGAACTACACGGAGCGAGCCAATGAGGCTGACACGTGGGTGAAGCACAGGTAAGACCCGCCCTCTCTCTGTCAGTTGCCACCTGAGACGGTGGCCACGGCGGTTGTGTGTTCCTAGATCCCGTCACTAGAAAGCCGTGCAGTCCCCACGCTGGCCGAATTACCCTCCTCCCCAGTACACACAGTAAACATATCATCTATTTATGGTTTCTGCTGATAACCCTCTGGAAATCACATCACTTCAAATTGCTCTTCTGAGACAATGCCCAAATACTGTAAAATACTTCCTTCTGATGACCATCCACAGTGCACACAGAGGTCAGAACTGGCCCTGGTGAAGCTCAAAGGAGGGTTAGCAATCCTCTACTGTTCTATAACGACATGACTCAAATTTTACTGGGTCCCCCACTAGGGGTCCTATGAGGCTGTGATCCTGGCATGGCTGGCACCGGGGACTCACCAGATGCTCAGGGTCCTTTCCGAAGCTCTGTGGTTGTTGGCAAAATGTATTTCCTGGAAGCTGTCATGCTCCTGGTGGTATGTTTCTTCCAGCTCAGTCGGGGGATCTTGTCATTTTAGCATCTAGCACCATCTGTCGAGGCTAAGGATTTTCAAAAACTCTAGGTTGTTGGCTCCTACCCCAATTTACTGTAAGCAAAAAGGAGAAACTCGGTGACAGCTTTGACACTGTGCGTAGAGGTAACCTGAGCTGTTTAACCGACTTCATTCTTCACCAGTTCAGTTCCTTATGGACAATGTTGCTAAGCATTTCGCTGCAACTCAGAACCCTTTCCCCAGCTTCCTATGTCTGTCCCCATCCTGAGGGAATCCCTAGGCAGCAGCTGCTGCTTTGTTTGTTTGTATCAAAGCTGCTCATAAGGCAAAGCGGTGGAAACCATACAGTTTTATTTATGTGCCCATTGGAAGCCAGTTAAAGAGTGGCAAAAGTTCTGGTGGCTAAAACCTCTGTTTCGAATAAATCGAGAAGAAATGTATTTTGAATATTTAAAACAAATGATTGATTTTGGTCATTTAGTGGCTGACAGGTGTTCATGGGGAAAATGACTAGGCTTTGCCAGATATTATTTTTTTTTAACGTAGGGTTTTCTGAAAACATTTATGGAAGGAGATCAGGTGACCTCTATGCTACTGTCTCTTCCTGTTAATTCAGCTTACATTTGGGTTTGCGTGGCAAGCCAGGGATGGCATTTGTGCCCTCGGGCTGCCCCACCAGATGCTAGTTGACAACAAAGTAGGTCCCCTACCACCCCTACACAGGCAGGGTCTCATGTGACCTAGGCTGCCTTGGAACTCACTATGTTGGTCTCTAGCCAAGGATGACCTTTGAACCTCTGATCCTTCTGCCTCCATCTTCAGAGTACTGGTATTACAGAGAAGTGGCATCACCTGGGTTTCACGTGTGCTGGGCAGCTGAGCTGACCACGGATTCTTATAGGCGTTTAGGAAGCTGCCATGTGTACTAATTTAAGCTAGCATTTGAAGTGCATGGATTCAGCCAGTTCTACAGGGGGCTGTTCCTTGTCGTCTCGGCTTCACAGGCTAATTCCTAAGAGTTGAGCAGCATGCTCAGGAAGCAAACCTCAGCCATGATGTCAAGGCTTTTCTATCAGCCTTCAGCTCATGATCCACTTAAGTCACAAAGACCTGCAGAGAGAACCGAACACACCCTCTTGTGCGAGCTGAGTTCCCGGCTTGGGAGGTGAAGGGCTGAACAACAGAATCAGGGAAGCCTTGGTTTCCTGCAGACATCCTATAGTCAGCTGGCTGCTCTAAAAAAACACGGAAGAACAGAGGACAGGAGAGCTTAGCGTCAGACTCCAGGGGGCTGGGGGCGGGGCTCACAGCCCCTCGTCCTTCTCTCCCCACCAAGGGCAGGAGATCTCACTTCGGCAGAGGTGTTAGGCAAGGGGCAAGCCTGGAGCTGCAGCTGCAGCAAGCTGCGGCCAGCCACGGTTGCACTTCACCGTTAATGCAGCCCCTGCACCTGTACAAATGCCAAACCATGTGAGCCTGACCGTGCTGGGAGACCAGCTTCCCCTGGGAACCAGTGTCTAGTCACAAAAAGTGGCAAGAAGCAGCAAGTGCTGACTGAATGCTGTACCATGCCTGATGGGCTCCCTCACTCCCAACCCCAATTCTATGGCCTTTAAAGCCACTAAGCATTCTTGTAACCGTTTAGAGAGCTTTTAAATTGATGTATGGTGGTGCCTGGCTTTAATTCTGGTACTTAGGAGGCGGAGGCAGGCGTACGTCTGTGAGTTCCAAGGCAGCCAGGGCTACACAGTGAGACCCTGTCACAAGAGAGGTCGTGGCGTATGTCTGAATGTGTCGTGAAGGTGCTAGGCAGTGGGGAGCGAAGTCAGACAGCTGTGTGCACAGATGGTTGACCCGTGGGCTTGTTGTATAGACATTCCGTATGTATCTCCCAAGGTTACAGGACTCACACAGGTCATGGGTGATATAAACAGCAAGAAGCGCTGGTGTATGCCAGCACCCAGGGAGTGATCTGCAAACCACGTGGCCAGGGGCCATTTCCTGCTCAGGGGACACTTTCCCAGCCCTGAAGGTGGCTTTGCCACGTGAACACATTGTTCTTTACGGAAAACCACCATCGCGAGTGCATCGTCTCCAGCCTTTTGGGCTGGCGACAGCAGAATTCTGAGGACCCGACAGTCCCGATCCATCACCCGCTTGTCACTTGGAAACCACAGGCTACTGGAGGGTGGCTGCTGGTGGGGGAGGGACACACTCTGGAGCTACCTGAGTTTCGGGCATCTTCACAGAGCGTGTAGACAGCCCCGATGCGGATCAGAGAGGGTCAGGGTCAGGCTGGGGTCAGAGCCCAGAAGGAGCTGAAGCCATCTTCCAACCACGTGAAGACATCTCACCACAGAAGACTTCCAATCCCACAAAGCAAGCTGGTGGGAGGAGACACAGCAAGGGCACCGTTGCTGGATGAGATGCACCCCCTCCATATGCTTACATGTTGAAGCCTCAGTGGACTTTTTTTTTTTTTTAAGAGAAAGACCTTTAAATCAAGATGCCCCTTATCTGATCTCACTTTGATCAGAAGGATGGTTCTTGAGGACTCAGGAGGGGAGACATCAACTTATCATCAGACCCAGCACAAGTCCCCAAGATGAATCGCAAGTCCCTGTACGTCTTGAGGGACCTCCTGGTCTCCAGGGCAGTAAGACAAGGAAGCCTGTTCGGTCATCGAAGCCCCAGTCTGTATGGCCACGGCCCGAGGACACTAATGCAATGCCTTTGTCTTTGAAATGCCACACCCCCTTCTAAGAACAAAGGGGAATGGAAACTTCTATTTCTGCAGCACAGGGTAACCACTGAGGGGCTCTCCAAAGTCCAAGAGAAAAAATGACAAAAATGACAAAATGTCACACGCTTCCCTCTACTCTCATGCCAAGGCACCCATCACCCTCTTGCTTGCATTTGTAACTGACAGACCAGCAGACAAACTCAACTTCCTCTCTGACTGTACAGTTCACAGATGGCCCGCGGAGATAACAATGATTCTGCTGTCTGAGTAGTGAGCCTCGGGTGACACGGGTGCCTTCAGGAAGGAGGAAGCGACCTGCACTTCCTGTGTCAGGGTGCTTCAGCTGTATCTGCTCTGTCTGACACGCTCCCTCGCTGAAGAGGGGCTGTCTGTGGCTCCAGTGTGTGTCACTGTTCAGCTATGGGATTCACTGATACATTTCATCCCCGTGGTGTCTGCAGTGTGGGAGTGCATGAAGAAAGCCCACAACTTGTTGGTTGTATCTCTAGAGCTTAATGGACATCTCTCCAGCCCGAGTCCATATGGAGGAGCTCATAAGAGGTTATGAACAGAGATGGGACAGGACACAATGACAGCCACAGAGGACCATAACTTATAGGTAATCAAAACACACTTGCCGAGATGAGAGAAAGGGGCTCAGCAGCTGAGAGCACTGTGCTGCTCTTTCAGAGGGCCAGGTTCAATTTCCAGCACCCACACAGCGGCTCACAACCATCTGTAAGTCCAGTCCCAGGGGCTCTGATGTCCTCTTCCGGCCTCTGTGGATATCAGGCATACACATGGCACCAGACATACATGCAGGCAAAACTCTCATACACATAAAATAAAAATAAAACATTTAAATGCATGAATTCCATCAAAATTCCACAGAGGTCACAGATGGCCCAGGGCTTGGTCACAGGTGTCAGGCAGACAGCAACTGACGCTTTCTTTGTGGCTCTAGACAGGTGTCAGGCTGGAATCGTGGGGAGCTGTTGTGATAAGCTCCTGTAAGGATGGGACTGAGTTAAACTGTACCTCACAGGTGGTTGAGGAGACTGAGTTACAGGGACTTGTCAACTTCAGAGTCACTTCCAGGTTTTAGGAAGTTGTTTGAATGTCACTGAATGAATGAAGCATTTATCTGAAAGAAACAACGGGAGAAAGGAGCTGAGAAGACCTTGGCACCAGAGTGATGAGAGGAGGGGTCGGCTTGCCACTCAACGAGGGGACTGCTTGCCCAGCACCTACAGGGCCCCGGGTTTGATCTACAGCATGGCCTAAACCCAGATGTGGTAGTGCACACCCCTAAACCCAGGACTTGGCAGGAAGATCCAGAGTTCGCGGGTATCTTTGGCCGTATAGTTAGCCGAAGCCAACCTGGAATATATGAAACCGTGTCCAAAAAAAAAAAAAAACAACACTTTTAAGATACTAATGGTATAATGCATTAAAAAATCAAAATAGGGTTTTGGCTCAGAGGAAAGAAGACAGCTGAGTGGGCCAGACCAGGTATTAGGTGTTGAGTAAGCTTACTTGGTATCCTGAAAAAGTTCATGTCTGAGAGCCCCCGCAGAAGCTCGAGGGGGAGGGGGAGGGCGAATGACATCCATAGTATTTATATGCCAGCTACATAGTTCACCCAAACCAATGCCCAGCAGAGACAAGAAATAAACAGAAGGAACATGTTTTTTTAGACAAACGTCTCTGGCTTCTGGGCTGAGAGAGCTTTAATGAAAGAGAAGCAGAAGGGCATCTCAAACCGCTTGGTAGGCCTGCCTTTGATGGTGACCAGTCACTGCTCGGCATTCATGGCCTGTGTCCATTCGGAATGACCAGGGGTTCCACGGGGCTCTCCAAGAGATGTCACAGTGTCCACACTCCTGTGAGAGATGCTGGTCTTAGCAGGGCTTCCTGCCTGGAGCTTTCCTTTGAAAGTGGCTATGACTCTGGCCCCAGGTGGTCCTGAGCCTTCCCCTCACCCAAAGCCAGCTCGGTGGTGCCAGGAGAGCCAGGCTCAACCTCCACAGGCTCACCATCTCATTCAAGGGAAAGCCACCATTTCCTATGGCTCAGCTGGAGAGCCTGGAGTTGAGCTTGGGTATGTCTTGGTGGTGAATCGCTCACCTAATGTGTGAGGCCCAGACAGAGCAGTAACAGGGCAGAGAGAGTTGGGGGAGAGGGAGACAAGTAAGGGAGGGAAGCCTGGTGCAGAACTCTCTCCATCACCTAGGCAATGTTCACACTGTGAACTGCGGCCCAGGCTGCTGTGCCCACACTCACCAAATCTGACTGCCCCTCGCACTCGCTCCCAAGTGCAAACCTCAGGAGAGCCTTCAGCCTCTGGGGTCCGCACCCACAAAAGCTCCGCTGTTCCACCTCTGCCTCCTCCCTTGGCTCATTCTGCTCCAGCCACGTGGGCCCGTGCTGCTCCCCTAACCCTCAAGAGAATTGAGTCTCTGCACATCTGTCTCCTCAGCCTGCCCCTTGCTTCCTCACCTCTGTCCCAACCCACCCACAAATGTGTCACTCACACAGTCTCAAGGGATTTGGGGAAACTGTACCCACCCTCAGATATCCAGAAGCCTGCTCAGACAAGCCACCCCTGCCTTATTGCAGCCCATAATATCTTCTGGGCTTCTGAAGCCCAACCGTGCAATCTGCTTTTCCCAAAATAAAAGTGGGTTAGCATCTAAATATGGGTGAATGCAAAGATTAAGTGGTTGAATTCAGTGGCTGACAAAACCATGACCGCCTTTTCTCTTTCGGTGTGTTGTAACCATTTTCCATGTTCCCGATAAGGAACCAAAAAATGTTCCCTGTCCAGAAAGGAATTGGAGAATAACGCTGCTGGCTGGGTCAACAGAGAGTGAGAGCAAGGGGCCTCAGGCATAAGAGGGTACGATGATTTCTCACAGAAGGCGACCCAGAAGAGCCTGGAGTGTCTATCCAAGAACCGCATGAGCAGCTAACTGTTGCTGGGACCAGGCATTATCTTTAAACAGTCCATAGAAATTTTTCCTTGTACAAAATGGCTTCTGCCCCGAGGAAATCACTCCTTCTCCACTCCAAGGAGGAGTCACGTGCTCTGTGTTGCCCATTCACCTTCCTCTCTTGATACCTGCCTGTTCCTTCTAGACAGGAAGCAACCCTGTGAGTGTAACACCCCTTCCTGTTGCGTATCTTGGGGTTCACTCTCCAGTTTGCTTTGGCTCTTCTCCTCCGCACATGTCCCCCGAGCTCCTGATTGCCTGTTCACCCCGTGGCACTTTAAGTAATTTACAGTTTCCTGGTTACCTGCATCCCTAGCTCTTGAAGGTGTCTAGCCACCATGACAATATCCCAATTGCTTCTGTCTGAGCACCTCTGACAACGGTAGATGGTAAATCAGAGGATGGTGTGTGAGAGAAAGAGATTTGATATTCATTAAGGTCCAGAACCAGTAGGACGCAGGGGTGGAGGATGCAGCTGGGAGGGGATTTGTTGAAGTTTGTGATTGGCAGATCTGAAGTCTTCAGGGCAGCCCAGTAGGTGGGGACCCAGGAAAGATCTGGGGCTACAGCCTGTGTCTGAAGGTAGCCTGGAGACAGAACCCACCCTTCCATGGAGACCTCCATCTATCCTGTCTTAAGATTCCCACCCTACCCTCCATGCATGGATCATCTATTTTATTCAAGGTCTGCTGGTCTAGCCACTGATCTCATCTAAAAGGTGCCTTCTTAGTGTTCCTGAAAACATCAGGGCTTGGCACAGTGGCACACATCTGCAGTCCCAGCTACGTGAAAGGTTGAGGTGAGAGGCTGTCTTGAGCCAAGCGTTCATGGCCGGCCGGCCTGAGCAACGTGGAGAAATTGCCATCTCTAAAATGAAGTAACATTTGAACAACACATGGGCAGTGTGTTGAGGCAGGCCTGGCATCACGGCTAGAGCCGTGAGCCAATGAGTTATGCCCTGAGTATTCTGCCCACTTGCCTTTATTTTGTGGTCTTGATCCTAACTGCAGAGGTTAGGGTAGCTATCCCCAGGAACTTCCATGAACAGAAACCATGGTGACAACATGTCACGTCACGTCCGTGTTCACAGTCTCTCCTCTTCCCTCACAGAACATACACATTCAGTCTTGCCATGGACCTGAACTCTAGGAGGGATGGTGAAGCCATCAGCAGGAGAAATGGGGAATCCCACACCCCGTCAATGCCAAGGAGCGTTAGCAGCATTCAGGCCCTGCAGGTAACAGGACCCTGGATTTCTGTTGTTGTTTTGGCTTTTGTTTGTTTGTTTGTTTGTTTGTTTTGTCATGCTTGCTGGTATAACACCATGGTAGACATGGGCTGCTAGAGTTTGGCTTTTCTCCCAAGTGAGGGTGAGCCCACACATACACAGGAGCCCCTCCTGAAGGTTGATGTATTACTGCTAGGTACCCTCAGGCTACTTCCCAAACACAGGTCTCCCCAAGAACACAGGAGGTATGTACCCTGTGACTGTGAGATGCTAAGGCCAGCCTGGAAAGGAAGGGATGCTCCAGACAGCTGCTGGCCCCGTCCCCTCATCCCCCCACCTGTGACATCGTCAAGCAAAAAGTTAAGACAAAACAAAACAACAGCCTCTATACCTCTAGACCATAGCAGGGTTTTTGTTTGTTTGTTTGTTTGTTATGTTGTTGTTGTTGTTGTTACCCATTGATTCAACCAACTGGGGGTGGAAATATTATAGAAAATGGCATCTTGTCTTAATCAGCTTCCCAGGATTGCAACAAAATGCCTTAAATCAGCTCCAAAAAAATGAATGGTTTGTCATGGTCTTGGAGTTTCAGCCCATTATCTTCTGAACCTGTTGCTTTGGGCCTGTTGTAGTACTATTTACTATGATGGAGGTAGAGAGTAGAGGAGAGTTGATTGCCTGACAGAAGCCAGAAGCAAAGGCAGGGAGGGGCTGGGTACTAAGATCCCTTCAAAGTCACAAGTCCAGTGGCCTAACGTCTTCCCTCGAGGCCCTACCTCCTAAAGGTCCCACTCTCAGTAGTACCGTAGGCTGGCCACCAAGCCTTCCACATCCAAGCCTTTGAATAACACTCAAGATCCAAACTAGCTGTGGTGACATTTATCTGTAATCCCAGCACTTGGGAGGTAGAGCCAGAAGCATGGCTGTGAGCCTGAGGCCAACCTGGGGTACATAGAAAGTTCCAGGAAAGCCTGGGCTGGCAGACCATGTCTCAAAAGAAAACAAAAAAGAGGGAGGGGAGGAAAATGGGAGGGAGGAAGAGAAGGACGAAGGAAGAGAGGGAAAGGAAGAAAGAGAAAGAAAGGAGGGACATAAGTTACCTAGAGAGAGTTAGAGTACAGAGGGCACTGATGTGTTTATGTTCAATGAAAACATCATGTCGTTTTATACAGGGGACTTGAGCCTCTGGATTTTGGCACCTGCAGGGGTCCTTGTCCCACCTCAGGTGCAATGAGGGATGACTTTCCTAATCATTAGGAGCGCTTGAGCAGGCAGAGATTCGCCAGCTAAATAGGAAGGCAGTGAAGAAGAGGAAGGCTTCCTTTACCTGAGTGCTCAGAGGCAGAACACACACCTGAGTACTATGGGGATGGACTCAAGTATGGGCAGTCCTAGAGGGAGAAGGAGGAGGAGGAGGAGAAGAGGGGAGGAAGGAGGAGAGGAATAGGAGGAGAAGGAGGAGAGGAATAGGAAGAGAAGGAGCAAATGAGTAAACTATAAATAGATTGATATATGATAGAGAAAAAGGAGGAATAGAGAGACAGAGAGAGGGGAAGAAGAGAAGAAGATAAAAAGAAAGATGAATAGATAGATGGATCAGTGGATAGATAGGTAGATGGATGGATGGATGGATGGATGGATGGATGGATGGGTAGATAGATAGTTAGATAGATAGATAGATAGATAGATAGATAGATAGATAGATAGATAGATAGATAGATAGACAGACAGACAGACACTTGGAAGAGACTTGAAAAATATGTGTCAGGGTGGTACCAGTCCTCTTTTCATCTCTGTTATGAAGTCATGCAACCCAGAAAGTTAAACTTGGGGAGAAATGAACACAGGCTCCCAGCCTCACACAGTGAAGCAGCCTGACCACAGCTGCTGAGCAGCTTGGGGGAAGCTTGTCTCTAGGCAATGGCTGGTGGATGCTGCAAAGTGAGTCTGGTTAATAACTCCGTGTCCCGTCGCTCTCACCCCAGGCGACCATCGCGAGAAGAGGTGTTCTGGTAGCACGCCATGGGGAGAGAGTGGACCAGGTCTTCGGGAAGTCTTGGCTACAACAGTGCACTACGGCTGATGGTAGGTTAAGGCCAGATGACTCTAGACAGACTGGCTTTGTGTCCTTGAGGGACCCTAGATTCCAACAGTGTTGTTCCCTTGGAGAAACCATGGCATAGCAGCTGCTGGGAGATGTCAGGGCCCCCCAGGCTTTGGGGTCACTAGTGTGGTTATGGAAACACACCCATCCACATTGGCCACATGAGCCAGGCCCTTGGCATCAGTTGAATGATGGTTGTGATGATTCTGGTTTCCCCTTTTCTCTGATGGGTGAAGCTTGCAAGCCACTTGTTTCTGGTCACACAGCTTATAGCTAAGGGTCAGAATTTCTAACAGCTTGAACAGATCTTCGAGACTCAAAGGGGCCAGGGTGTCACGCAGCCCCTGTTTTCTGGTCTTGCATGCAAGCACCTGACTGAAGGGTTTCCAAGGTGGGGCACCTACAGCCAAGGATGTACTGTCACACAGTACCCAGTTAACTGACACCTATTCAGAAGCTTATCCTGGGGGACACAGCCTCCTCTCCCTTGTGTGAAATGAGGAGGGCCGAGAGGATGAACTGGGCTCCTGGCCCCTGGGGCTCAAACCTAAGTGCTCTGCATTTGAGTACACGTCACAGGCCTGCAAAGCAATATTTGTTGCATGAATTGAATCCACGTCACAGAGAACATTCCATAAATGACATTGGCAAGGATTCAGACAATAACCTTCTCTGCAGTGCTTGGGGCCTTGAGCAACAAATGAGATCTGACTCAGTGGTCTTAGGTGTCTGCTGCTTGTTTCCACCTCAGGAAAATACTACAGGCCAGACCTGAACTTCCCCCGCAGCCTGCCCAGGAGGAGCAATGGCATCAAAGACTTTGAAAACGATCCACCATTATCATCCTGCGGAATTTTCCAGGCCAGACTTGCTGGTATGTACAAGAGTGTTCCCACAGGGGAGCAAAAGTGACAGTAATGATGATAGCTGCGTACACTGAGCCCCTGCCATGCATCCTTCGACATCAGTACCGGCACCTTCCCTACCCTGCTCATACCGGGGCACAGAGATTGTCTTAGTTACTGTTCCATTGCTGTGAAGCATCACCATGACCAAGGCAACTTATAAAAGGAAGCATTTAATTGAGGGCTGGCTTCCAGTTTCAGAGAGTTAGTCCATGATCGTCATGGTTGGCAGATGGGCAGGAGGCAGAGGGGGACTGAGCCTAACGTGAGCTTCTGAAACCTCAGAGCCCGCTCCCAGTGACGCACCTCCCCCAACAAGGCCACACCCTCTGATCCTTCCCAAACAGTTCCACTAACTGGGGACCAAATATTAAAATACATGAGCCAGGGGCGGGCGGGCATTCTCATTCAAACCATCACAGAGATGTTAGACCATCTGCCCAGGGCCACACAGCTAGTGACCCAAAGTGGGGCGGTATGAGCCAAGAATGGATGGTTGGTGATATGAGCAATGAAATCTAGGGAAGGGGACACTACAGGGAGAAGGACTATCCACAGACACCGTATGCACCAAGAGTGGCGCTTCAAAAATTAAGACTCAGCTGGGGAAGGAGCTCAGTCGGTCAAACGTCTGCTGCGCGAGCACCGAGGCCTGAGCTTGATCCTCAGAACCTACGTGCAAATGCTGGGTGTGGTGGCACACACTTGTATTCCCAGGAAGTAGAGATGGGTTGCTCCCCACAGTTCCCTGGCCAGACAGCCTGGCCTACAGGGTGGGCTCCAGGCCTGTGAGAAGTGCTTTTTCAAAATAAAATGGTGAACAGCATTCCTGGGGATGACTTCTGAGGTTGACCTCTGACCTACACACACACACACACACACACACTTTAAAAGCACACTCCCTTACAGGTTATATTGCATTATCTTGTCGCTCACGGCTTGGAGTTTATGACTGGGTAATCTCCTTATACAAGATTGGATTTGGGTAGCAGGTGAGACTGTTCCATTTTTCTGGTTTGCATCTTATAAATCCAGAAAGCCAAGTCTAAAGGGACAGGCAGGCATCCCAGGCCCTGGCTGGTTAGGTAAAGAAACCCACTAGAGCCAGCTTTCATGCTTCTCACCCTCCGTGAGCACACGGGGTTTCACTGCCAGCTCCCTGCGTGGGGATGGTGTATACACTGCACTGTGTCAGGCTCCCAGTGAGACCTCAGTTGGTCCTGGGGTTGGGACACACCAGCCACACACAGCCCAGTAGAGCCCCTCCTTTCTAAGGGCAGTGCGGCCTATGCACACATGTGAGTGTCATACGTCACGAGTGGAAGTCCTGTCCTCATGCCTAAATACTCACAGAGATGTTTGAGCAGCTCTTCGTGTGTGTATCTGAGCATCCAGGGATGGGTTATGTGGGTGACAAGTATCCCGAGCTGCTGTCCATCATTGCCACCGACTGGGTGGATGAAGCATCGCTTGTCACCTGTCGGCATTAGAGGTTGAGGTCCCAAGGTCATGGTGCCAGCAGATGGTTCCTTCTGAGGCTGTGAGGAAGGCCTGCCTCTCCCTGTGGCTCCGTGGGGTCTTTCCCTGGTGCCTTCCCATCACCCCTCTCTGTCTGTCCCTACTCACCCTTCTTTGCAGAAGACATGTTCGCACAGAGCCCACCCTTATTCTAACTTGTTCTCAGTTGCCCTGTGGGATGCTGGGGGATAGGTGCCAGGACTTGTATGTACTCAAATCAGTGTATGTGTGTGTGTGTGGGGGGGGGGGTGCGCGCACGCCAGCCAGGTGTGATGGCACATGCCTGTAATCCAACACTCAGGGAGGCAGAGGCAGGCAGATCTCTGTGAGTTCGAGGCCAGTCTGGTCTATAAAAATCGAGTCCAGGACAGCCAAGCTACACAGAGAAACCCTGTCTTGAAAAACAAAACAAACAGACAAAAAAAAAAAAAAAAAAAACCACAAATTTTTCATGGAATCTGCATATTCTGCACAGTCATGACTTTCTGATACTTTTTGATCCCCATTGGTCAAATCCCTGGACACAGATCCACTGATGAAGGCCCCATTCTGAGGCACTGGGGTCCTCCAACTTGCCTGTAACTGACAACCCCAAGCCCCCTGGCTTTCCTGTCAGGTATCACAGAGAAAACATGGTTACGCTACAGTTTGTCCTTCCGAAAGCTGTGGCTGGCCTTGAGGTGACCAGCTAAATGACCACAAAGGTGTAGAGCAAAGTCCATGCTAAGATGACAGTGCAGATCTGACCTGAGTGTGGCCTGGTGGGTTCTCAGCTCAGAGTCACTTTTCTCTGGAACCCTGGCCTCCTTCCCAACTTACTCAGGCTAGGAGCAGGACTCAGGTCCTTGGGATGCAGGGCTGGGTCTTCCCTGGCTGCTATTGGCCACTTTGTGCTTCTGGGGCCGCACCCATGCCTTGTAACATGAGCCCCTCCATCTTTCAAGATACGTGGATAAGGCTCACATAACCCACCCGCTTCAGTTTCCTTTCATTCCTGCTGGGTGGCCTTCTAGGGGGAACCTCCACTACCTACTCGCCACTGACCCCTGGGCCACCCCCCTCCACCACACAATATAATGTAGTCACAAGAACGGTTGCAGGTTCTACCCTAAGCTGGTGGGGGCTCCTGCGGGTGTGTGAAGCAGTGGGTGAGATCCTCACACATCCCTGCCTGCCATCAAGGCAAACCCCCCACCCTGGGCTGGCGAGCAAAGGGTGTTTCCTACCTGTCAATTTTTCCAGGAGAGGCCCTGCTGGACAGCGGCGTCAGAATCACGGCAGCCTTTGCCTCTCCGGCCCTGCGCTGTGTGCAGACAGCCAAGTACATCCTGGAAGGTGGGTGAGCAGCTCAGCGGTCCTCAGTTTGATCTTGAGGCTGCTCTGCATGGGGAGCAAAGAGGGAGTGGAGGTGAATGAGATGACCGGCAAGGAATGGCCACGGCTAAGCCAAAAGGCTGTTAGAAACCAGCCTCCCAAGAGCAGCAGGCAGAAACGGCCCACTAACATCCCGGAATGCTAAGGCTGTAGGACCTGTGGGAGCTGGTGCCACAGGACTGATGTCCGTCGTCATACTTTGCCCTGTGGCTCCTTTGCCCCGGTGTCCCCCTAGCAAAGCATCATGGCCCCTCTTGATGGGCAGCGTGCTATTAGTCCTTGGATGCCTGGTGGTTTGGGTCTCTGCCATGCTTAAATCCCAGGAGGACGTTTGCCAGGAAAGAATCACATTTGTGAAGGGTTTCCTTGACCTCGTGTATAGGTTGGTGTCCTAGTTTGCTTTTCCGTTACTGTGATAAAAACGCTAACCAAAACCAAGCGGGGAAGAACAAGGGTATTTGACTTATTCTTCCATGTCACAGTCTATCAGCCAGAGGGGTTGTGTGGTTGGAGCCCACGGCAGGGATCTGCAGGTAGGAGCTGAAGCCATGGAGGAGTGCTGTTTATTACCGGCTTGCTCAGCCTGCTTTCTTATGGCACCATGATTTCCTGCCAGTGTGTGGCATCATTCTCAGTGGTTTTGGCCCTCCCATGTAGGCACACTTTTTAAATATCTATTTTATTTGTTTGTTTGTTTTAATATCTCTACCTCCCTTCTTCACCTCTTATCCCTTCCAACACCCCAACCCCAGGTAGGAGAGAAAGAAAGTTAGTGGGGAGAAGGGGCATAGGTCTCTTTAGCTACTTCTGCTGGTTAGGGTCGTTGAGTTCCTTGGGGCAAGTCCAATCTTCATTTCAGGAAATCTCCAACGTCTTGTCAAACCGCATCAGTAGTAACCAGGAGCAGCAGGCGGGGAAGCAGCAACAGCCTTCTTCTTCCTCAGAGCAATCGCCCCCATGCTGGCATTTATACCCTCTCAGAGTCCCCAGAATTAAACTGTCTGCAGCTGGCCAAGATCACACCTCTCAGAGCAGGAATGAGGCAAATAGTCTGCTGCTGTGGACAATGTGAAGCGGCCCCATAGCCCACACCTGGGATTAAAACAAAAACATGTCTACATAACATAACTGAGTTTTTAAAGACACAAAAAAAACCTCCCGCTACACAACCACATCAGTAATTAACCAAAGAAATGGGCATCATAATGCCTGCCTTTAACCTCAGCACTTAGGCTGTAGAGGCAGGTGGATTCCTGAGAGTTCAAGAACTCTACATAGTGAGTTCCAGGACAGCTAGAGGCTTGCCTGCAGACCAATCTTCTAAAGGCGCTTTCTCAGTTGAGGTGTCCTCTTCCCAGATGACTCTAGTTTGTGTCTAATTGACAAAAACATTAACCAACATGGAGGATCTAGCTACGTACGAAAAAAACTTCTTTGTGCAACACTGACAATAATTCACACTTGTTTGCCCTTGACACACCTCCTTTCCCCCAGAACTTAAACTGGAGAAGAAGCTGAAGATACGAGTTGAGCCTGGAATCTTCGAATGGATGAAGTGGGAAGCCAGCAAGACCACTCTGACCTTCTTGACCTTGGAGGAGCTGAAAGAGGCGAACTTCAATGTTGACCTTAACTACAGGTATTGTGCCTTGCGAGTCTCTGCTACTGAGGCTTCTCTAGTTCTTACTAAAGAAAATCTGTCTACTGAGCTGAAGCCCTGCAGTGGAGTGAGATAGATCGAGCCGTGACTACAGCACAGGCAGGAAGGAGGTGATGGGAAATGGCTTGAGGGCTGTGGGCTTGCTCGGCCAAACCAACAAGACTCCTGGTGAAGGCACCTTCAGTGAACACACATCACCTAAGAGGGAATGGAAGCTAGGGGATCTGACCACATTGGGAAGATGGGGTGGTCCTACTAAAACTGGTCCTGCAAGGACGGACATATATAGACCCCATCCAGAAGAAGATCCTGACTCTGGTTTGTGAAGGGGATCGGGGGTGACTGAGTTTATCCTTCCCCAGGGTAGACTGCTCAGCCAGCATAACGTGGGGTTACCACGTCCTCTGCCAGTGTAGAGCACACCCAGGAGCCCCTGCTGGCTGTAAACCCACGAGCCCTGCCTGACAGGCCATCTGGAGGATCATGGTCCAGCTCCAGTGCTCCAGCACGCACTGTTATCACCAGAAGGCTCTCTGACATCAGCCGTGTCTCTCTCCATCCTCCTTTCAGGCCTGCATTTCCCCGCTCCTCCCTCATGCCGGCCGAGAGCTATGACCAGTATGTGGACAGGTGCGCTGTGAGCATGGGCCACATCGTCGGCACGTGCCCACAGGACAGTAAGTGTCTCACAGGCCTGAGGAGAAACAGCTTTGGGCTTCCCTGGGATGGGATTCGCTGACCTTGAGCTATCAATGACCCCAACCCCATGTTCTGGCCAAGACAGTGTCTCATCTCCACCCTGACAGGGAGCGGTTACATACTCCATGTAGCCCACGCCTGTGCGCTCTCGTGCTGAGCACTGATGGACCCAGAACATCAGGGTCTTCACAAACTACACCTATCCAAAAGACTAGAAGGAAACAAGAGAAACCAAGAATGACAGAGAGACAGGGTAGCCAATGCCTAAGGAAAGGGAGGCTAGGGCTCAGCCCACCTGCCCTAACCACCAGCCAGGTTCCCCGCTCTCCCAGCTTCACACTGTCAACCACAAGCTCTCCCGGCTCCACGTGTCCAGCAGGAAGCACACACAGAGGTACTGGATCCCACACCACTCCCCAGCTGTCAGGAGCCCATCATGTCACCCGAGGAGGCTCCCTGAGTCCTGCGAACACTTATCTGAAGCAGGCAGTATCTCGGGCTCCTGGTGATAAGCGAGCTGAAGTGATTGGATCAGGTCTAGGCGGCAGCCATCACACACCCCACCTGTGGCTGACAGGACCTAGGCAGCCAGCCACCAGAGGATAGTGGCTCAGATCATCCTTATGTCATCCTTGAGGCTGGCACACGGCCGCCCGATCCCCAGGCCCCGTGTGGGAAGGCGGGGCACCCCGAATCATGGGGTGAATGACTTCCCATCCCACCATCTCACAGAGGCGATGGTAGCTGGACCTGCAAGATTCTGAGGAAGCCTGTATGCTGCCCAGCACTCTCTGGGCCTGCTCTGACCTTGAGCTGTTTTGTCTACAGTGGGCATCACCCTCATCGTGAGCCACAGCTCAGCACTCGACTCCTGCACGAGACCCCTCCTCAAGCTGCCGCCCAGAGAGTGTGCCGATTTTGCCCAACTAGTGAGAAAGGTATGTGCCCCCGCCCCATGCCTCTTCTGCCTCAAAGTAAAGTAGGCTCAGGGCCCTGGCACTCTTTATAGAATGGAAACTAGTGTCCAGCCAACCCCATGTGGTGAATCCAACGGCCCCCATGGAGCGCAATACTTGCAGGAGCCATGGGAGAAGCCAGTCACCCTCAACCTCGTGGCCGTCTCCACCGTTCTTTGCCACCAGCGTGTCAACAAGTTTCAGGGTTTGTTGCAAGACAGCTCACAGTTTCTCCTTGCAGCAACAAAGGTCCTGTATGGAGTCAGGAGTCAGTGTTTGAGTAAGAGAAGGGTGGCTGTTTTGTGGCCCTGCCTTCCTCTTTAGGGTCTGGGAGGGCACTGACAGATGGAAGGAACCTCTACCCAGTCACCTCTAGAGGGACAAGTGGGAACTCACTGTAGCTATTTGTCAGCATGGGCCAATGTTGTGCAAACCTCTCATGACAAGCGGATGGCAAGCATGCAGAGGAAGGAGTGACCTACTGAACATAGCCTAGCAGAGCAGAGAGGACGATGGCCAGGCCATGATTATCCATTCTAGACCAGCCCTTTCTCCCCCTGGTGACGTGATCAGGGGCTAGGCTCACGTATTCTCCCCCCGCCCCCCCCCCCCGTGTGTGTGTCTGTCTCTGTCTCTCTTTCTCTCCCTCTTCCCCCTTATCAAGTTTATTAAGCAGTGATCCTGTGCCCTGACTCTATTGGTATAGAAAACTGTAGATAAGGGCTGGGCGTGGTGGAGCACGCCTGCTGTAATTGTAGCTACTCAGAAAGCTGGGGCAGGATGACCACATGAGAGTATGAGTTTGGAAGCAGCCTAAGCAACATAGGGAACTCCAGTTCAACAGAAGGAGGGAGGAGGGAAGAGGGAGGGAAGAGGAGGTGGCGAGGAGGAAGAGGAGAATGGGAACAAGGAAAGAAGAAAAAGGTGGTACTGATAAGCTTCTAAACTCTAGAATTTTCTTAGGTCATTTAGAGTCTACTACCCCACCACCACCACCAGAAACTAAACAGCCCACAGATCAGTTTAGCCAAGGGCTCTGCTGAATGATAAGCCTTCCAATCAGGGTCAGCACTCAGGAGCCTGAATAGTCAAGGCTTCCCCTGTCTGGCCCCATCACACCCTCCTGGCAGTCCCTATCTGTAGATACAATGACTTGGCCCTGACTCAACCGAGGCCTCTCTGCTCAGGTTCCTCTGTGCGCCTTGGGGTTTTTGCAAAATTTGTCTGACCAAAGAAGTCTTAGGCATTAAAAAGAGGGTGAGGTGAGGTAAGAAAGGCATGCCGACAGAAAAGCCTTCAACACGAGGAGCCACCAGGCTGGTCCACTTTCCAGAGGAAGGCGTGGAGGCCCAAGGTTTCACTTTGTACTTTATCCTGCTGTCTGAAACCTCAATCCTAAACCTTTCAGCACAATGGAGGCAGGACTAAGACACTTTGTGGCAGATTGACGGGGTCTTCTGCCCCCCACACACACACATACAGTCACGGGGCCCTGGTAATCCTGTGGAAAAGGACTGCCCCATGCCTCCCAGGATGCTTAGCAGCCCCACTCCGAGTTATGATCAGTCTTCCCTCAGGCCCTATTGTTGGGAGGGCTTGATTATCCCCGGGTGAAAGTCGCATGGTAGATGTTGGCATTGGTTCCATGGTTCTCTGGCAGCCTGGGACAGTGTGGTCCCCTCTGTGACAAAGAGGCAGGCTGTCAGTGGGTTTAAGAAGTTCTCTAATGGTGATTGACTTGTAACAGAACATTGCAGACATTCTCAATCCCCTTCCAGATTCCATCCCTGGGAATGTGCTTCTGTGAAGAAAACAGAGAGGAAGGAAAGTGGGAGCTAGTGGACCCCCCAGTGAAGACTCTGACACACGGGGCCAACTCAGCCTTTAACTGGAGAAACTGGATCTCCCGAAACTGAGCCAGCCCAAGCCTTCCAGGAAGAGGTAACTGCCCTATGCCAAGGCACGAGGAGCTGTGGTTATGCTTAACACAGGCATTCGCTTGCTGTGACCGGGAAGAGCTCAAAACACACTTGATGCTCAGGGGCACTGCCCGCCGTGGCTCCTACCTTTGTCGCTGCCAGCTGCAGGCCGGCTGTCCTGCCAGCCTGACTGTGAAGGCCAGAGCGAGAGGTCTGCACTAGGACACCACATTGCAACCTGTGTGCCAGGTTGGAAAGAACAGAGTAACAGCCTCGATTCCAGGAACTAAAGACTTCCCACCCCCACATTCAAAGCTGCCAACCCTTCTGTGTTATATGTTCTTAGGAACCCTCCTTTCTGTAGCCATCCCCTCCTTAGCCACGGTCACACCAGCAGAAGGAAGAACAGTGGTCGATAAAAGAGGCAGCCCACCAGATCAAAACCAGGACAGCTGCTGGCACCAGCGTAGGTGTGTTGGCTCTGTGCTGCTGCCGGGTCGTGCCGCTGCGGATGCAGCGGTGATCGAAAGCACCGAGAAATTCTTAATGCGCATAGACTAGTGTGTGGTTCTGGAGGTCTAGGTGGGCTGTGTTCCTCCGAAGATTCTAGGGGACCCTCCCCCAGCCATTTCCAGAATCAAGAGGCATCCATCCTTCCTGGCATCGCTTTTATGTTCTATTGCAAATCACTCAGTCTAGGGAAGTTCTAAGGCACGGTCACATGGCCCCTGCCTCGAGCCTCCTGCCTCCTTCTCACAAAGACCCAGAATCCTCTCCCATCTTAAGAGCCTTGATTGCTGTGCCTGCAAAGTCTCTTGGCCACAGAGCTCCCATGTTTATGGTTCGGATGTGTCTTTGAAGGCCTACCTCAGTCTCTGCTCTTCAAGCACATCCTGCCTATGGTACAAGGGTCAAGACATGAAGGTTTGAGCCTCCCTCCTACACACACTTTGTGCAGGTCATTTTTTTTTTCATTTTGGTTTCGTCTTTTCTCTCTTCTCAACAAGCCAGGAGGGATGGGGGCTTTTGTGAGTGGAAGGAGTGAGCCCCCTGTCTTAATAGGAAGGGCTACCATCATGGGGGGGCGGGGGGAGTGGGAGGGAGGGAGGAGTTGTTCCTGAGGGTGTGAACCCAGCAGTGGCTCCGGCTTGGAAAATGTTGGTCCAGTGGTAAGTGGGATTCTCTGTATAGTGTCCACCTCACCTACAGAGGCCACCCTGTCCCCAGAGCCCATGCACAGGCGTCTTACTCTGCAGTCATCCTCACACCGTGATGATTTTTTTTTTAAGTCAGTCACTCTTCTTTGCCAGCCACCTGTTGCAAAATTCTGGTTCCTTTACACTGCTGTGCTCTAGGCTGTGGCTGAAGGCAGGAAGGACCTGGAAGGGGGTGGGAGGGACCAGGGAGGGAGGAAGGGAGAAATTAGAGGAGGGATACTTCAAGATACTCTTTTTCCTTCCTCTCACTGGGCTGGCCCTTGCTTTTTTTGGTTTTTTGTTTTGTTGCTCATCTGACCCCTGCTGGCAACATCTGGGAGGGACATGTTCCTCTGGACACTGCCCTGGCCCACCTTCCAAGCCATGTTCTTTGACTTTTTCATTTCAGGGCCAACTTGAGTTTTTTAAAATAGGATTCCTACTGACATGTGTCCTAGGCAGGGCTATGTTCTTTCAAGTTCAACCAGTAGACAGCTATGCAAGGTTCAGAGGTGTAAACAAAGAAAATGACCATATCAGTGGACAGGTCAAAAGCTCAAGCACCCTCCCTCCCCCTTCCCCACTCCCATCCCCAAAGTCCCTGGAGAAGACTGGGGAGCAACTTGGAAGCTGGGCCGCCTGAAGAGCTGTTGAGATTTACTTCTGCAGGCTGAATCAGTCACACAGAAGTTCTGATCCTACTACTTCAGTGTGAATCTGTATTTGGAGACAGGATCTTTAAAAAAGAAAAAGTAAATGTGTGTGTGTGTGTGTGTGTGAGAGAGAGAGAGAGAGAGAGAGAGAAAGAGAGAGAGAGAGAATGTGTGTAAGCACAGGAAGCTAGAGGGAATGTTCGTATGTCAGAGACAACGTTGCGGGATCGGTTCTCTCTACCCACCTTTATAGTGTGTCTTAGTTACATTTCTATTGCTGTGACAAGACACTATGACCAAGGCAGTTTAGAAAGCATTTAATCAGACTTGCCGTTTCGGAGGGTTAGAGTCATCTGAATGGCAAAGCAAAGGCATTACAGCAGGGACAGTTGAGAGCTCACATCTTGATCCACCCACAGTGACATACCCTTCAATCTCCTACTCTTCCCCGGACTTGGTCTAACTTCCCAAGTGTTCAAACATATGAGCCTCAGGGGGCTGTTCTCATCGAAAACACTATGGGCGGATGAAGTCTGGTAGCCAGCTTTGAGCAGCAAGCAACTTTACCTCCTGAGCCATCTTGGTGACCTGAAAGCAGGCTCTTGGAAAGAGGCACGTGAGGTAGATGAGGTCATCAGGATGGGCCCATCCAAACTGACTGTCCCTTATAAGAAAAGGAAGTCAAGACACAAACACAGACAGGTTGTGGTGGTTGCCTAAGAATGGCCCTCATAGGCTCATATATATGAACGCTTGGTCCTCAGGGAGTGGCAATGCTTGAGAGTAGGAAACGTGGCCCTGTTGGAGTAGGTGTAACACTGGGTGTGGGCTTTAGGGTTTCACAAGTCCAAGCCAGGCCTGGTGGCTTTTTCTCTTCCTGCTTCCTTCAGATCCAGATGTGGAACCCTCCAGCACCACGTCTGCCTGTGTGCCGCCATGTTCCTCGCAATCAGGATGATGGACTAAAGCTCCGGAACTGTAAGCGAGCCCCAGTTAAATGCCGTCTTTTTAAGAGAGTTGCCGTGGTTGTGGTATCTCTTCACAGCAACAGAATGCCCAGACACACAGAGAAGCAAGCCTGTGAAGAAATATCAAGAGACGCCTCCTGCAAGCCAAGGAGAGGGGTGCCAGGAGGAAGCAGGCTGGGACACCTTGATGGTGGATTTCCTTTAGATTAAAGCATCTAGTCTATGTACACTGTATAGCAGTCATAAATAACTACCATAGGGCACGAAGGTCATCGCCCAGGGCACCAAAACTGTCCCACTCAGGAGCTAGACGCTAGGGAGGTTATGCAGCTCCATATGAAGCACAGAATAAACAGTGACATCAGCTGGACCTGTCTACGCAGTGTGCGTAGGGGTCAGAACTTACACTAAGCATCGTAGGCGATGCAGAAATGATCTGCATTGCACGGAGGATGTGTGCAAAGATGACTCCATTCTTTGTCAAGGTTTTGTGCATCTCCAGATATTGGTACCTATGAGGCTCCAGAAACCTAGCCACAGGGAATACCAGCGAGTGACTACAGAGAGCACAGACCAGACACTGGGGTCAGGGAAACCTGTAAGGCTCCTAACTAGAGCAAAGGTTATTCTGAGAATAGGACGTGGTCATTTCCGGCCACAAGGTCTTCTACTGTGGCTATGAATAGCCATGTCAAGGTCAGAACACTCTGAGTCAAGCTCAGAGGCCCAGAGCCTGGCCCTCACTCACCCTTGTTGATCTTCTGTGCTCTACTTCCTCGCCTGTGAAACGGGTGAACATTTGCTGAGACTGACAAAAGTCAGCACAAGACGGCAGCTTCTGAAGAGAAAAGAATCCTGTGTTTCCTACAGCTTCTTCCTGGACCATGAGCAGGCAGAACCACCACTTGGGCAAAAGGGACCCAAGAGCTTTGAACACAGCGGATCCCTGACAGCTCACCTAAGAAGTTCACCAAACAAGCAAGGCATTCGTTGGGGCAGCAGGCTGTACCTCGGCTCCATCTACCCACAGGCACAAGCCACCGGGAGATGTGATGAGAATGGTCCAGCATGAAAATGTTTGATTTCAACGGTGGAGCGACCATGAAGATGCCGCAGAAGTGCTAAGGCTGGAAAGAATGGCCCAGAAAGGACAAACTGGAAGGGGGGGTCACTTCCTGTCTTTTCCAGAGCTGGGGTGCCGAGCTTGCTCAAGAGTGTGCTTGCCACACTCCAGGAAAAGAGCCACACCTCAACCTCCTCCAGTCCAGGGCTGGCCCGAGGCTGCAGGAAGCAGGTGAGCTGAGACCGGCCAGGCCACAGGCAGATGGAGGACATTTCTGAAAGGCACCTCTCCCCAGATGGCCACAACTAGGTGATTATCCATCAGGCTACGTAGAATCCCACCACAGCACTCAACATGAGCAGGAAGAAACAAAGATGGCAGCAACCAGGCAGAAGGTGAGGCCCCTCGCCTCCTCCTCCAGAACACGCTTCTTCTCTGCTGAGGAAGCATAGTGATCCGCCGCCACAGAGAAGGGCTGACACCTCCCTCCCAGGCAGTGAGAATGGCAGGTAAGGAGATGAGTGCCAAGAAGCTGATGATTGGCACAAGCCGTTTACCTTCAGAACGAAATCATCCTGAAGTGAAGCGCACTTTAAACCTGCCGCACGCAATAAATGCAAGCATGTACACACACACACACATCAGGCTGAGACTCAAAACGTCAAGCTGCTCTTCAAATAACTACAGCCTGGAAAACAGCAGCCGCAACAAAAAGCCTCCATCACTCTTCAAATCGATACAACATAGCACTGAGTATCAAACCAGCAATGCCAGGCAGGGACTTGAACTCTGCGGAAGGAGGGCCTACAGGGACCTTCTCTCCTCTCTTCCCAAAGCTGCTGAAACACTCAGGGACACCTCAGGCTATCACAGGCTAACTCGCACACCCCTGCTGTAAAGCAAAAGCTGCAGTGGAGTGAGCCACACGGAATTTCTGGTCTCCCGGTGAACACAGTTACACCGTACTTGTTCTCTACTGTGTGTGTGTGTGTGTGTGTGTGCGTGTGGTAGGGAGATGTTTTAAAAAGCAGTGGATTTACCTTAATTTAAAACATCGCTGAAGAAGAGATGGGTAACTGCCATCTGAGCTATTGGGAAAATGGTGTCAGTGGATTTC